ATAAAAAGGATTTAGATCAATTAATATATGGTCAATTGAGTGGACTGAAATATGATTCTAAACAATGTGGGAAAATACCACTCTCTTCCACAAAAGCTCAAGCATATAATACTATCAGTCTAACTCAGTAAGGACAAGCAATATTTTTAAAATGTACATAAATGAAGTATTATTTTTCACACTGATTGACAATCAGACATAAATGTTCTCCCTATTTTTGCATTTTTGTGCTCACTCTAAAAATTACCTGCATTGATACAGTAATCTCTTGAAGGGCAGCATCTGCTTCATCTTGCTTAGTTTTAAGTAATATACTTTGTTCTCCAGCTTTTCTGTTCAGTTCATCCACAAGAGCTTTAGCTTCATTTAGTTTGGATACACCAGCCTACATCAATAAAATATTGTCAATATATAAAAGTTTTACACACACAGAGTAAATAAAATCCTGTAAGAAAGAATCAAGCAAACATGTAAGCATATACATAAAAAACAGTAGCAAGTACACTTAAGATCTTTTTTCATTGCTAATTATAATCATTTGCTTAACATTAAGGTACAGCAAAAGATTCCACAGAAGTTTTAAAGATAAACAGATTTTAAACCATCACAGAGGATGGTTCAACCTATGCAATCAATAAACATGTTACATAAAATCAACAGAATGAAGGACAAAAACCATATGACATCTAATAGATGCAGAAAAAACATTTGATAAGATTCAACAACCTTCATGATTAAAATTCTCAACAAATTAGCATAGAAGGAACATACTCCAACATAATAAAGTCATACATGACAAACCCACAACTAATATCATAATAAATGGGAAAAAACTGAAACAAGATAAGGATGCCCGCTTTTACTACTCCTATTCAACAGAGTACTGAAAGTTCTAGTCAGAGCAATTGAGCAAAGAAAAGAAAGAAAAGCAAACGAATTGGAAAAGAGGAAGTCAAATTGTCCCTATTTGCAAATGACATAATCTTATATATAGAAAAACTAAAGACTTCACCAAAAACTCTCAGAACTGATAAACAAATTCAGTAAAGTTGTAGGATACAAATTAACATATAAAAATCAGTAGATTTCTATACACTATAATGAACTAGCTGAAAGAGAAATCAGCAAGGCAATCCACATTATAATAGCTACAAAAAATAAAATGCCTAGGAATAAATCTAGCCAAGTAGGTAATAGACTACAAAATACCGATCAAAGAAATTGAAGACAACACAAATGGAAAGATAGCCTATGCTCATATTTCAGAAGAATTGATATTATTAAATGACCATGCTACACAAAGCCATCTACAGATTTAATGCAACCCTATCAAAATACCAATGACATTCTTCACAGAAATAGATAAACAACCCTAACATTTGTACGGAATCAAAAAGAGCCTGAATAGCCAAAGCAAGCCTGAACAAAAGAACAAAGCCATAAACATCATACTACCTAATTCAATATCAACATATAGCTATAGTAACAAAATATAACAGCATGGTATTAGTACAAACAGACATAGACCAATGAACAGAATAAAGAACCCAGAAATAAATTTATATATTTATGGCCAACTGGTTTTTGATAAAGGTACTAAATATACATTGAGGAAAGGATACCTCTTCAATAAATGGTTTGGGAAAACTGGATATCCATATGAAGAAGAATGAAACGTATACCCCTATTTCTCACCATATACAAAAATCAACTCAAATGGATTCAAGACTTAAATGTGAGACATGAAACTGTAGAACACTGAAAGAAAACATAGGGAATGCTTCAAGACATTGGTGTAGGCAAAGATTTTATTGCTAAGACTGCAAAAGCAAAGGCAACAAGAAATAGACAAATGGATATATTTAATTCAAAAGCTTCTGCACAGCAATAGAGACAATCAACAGTAAAGAGATAACCTTTGAATGGGAGAAAATATTTGCAAACTATTCATCCAACATAGGACTAATATCCAGAATACACAAGAATCCAAACACCGAAGTAACCAAAACAAATAATCCAATTAAAAAGTGGGCAAAGACTCTGAATAGACATTTCTCAGAAGACATATAAATGGCCACAAGTATAGAAAAAATTGAGGCAGGAGGATCGCTTGAGCCCAGGAGTTTGAGGTTGCTGTGAGCTAGGCTGACGCCACGGCACTCACTCTAGCCTGGGTAACAAAGCGAGACTCTGTCTCAAAAAAAATAAAAATAAAAATAAAAATAAATAAATAAATAAATGTTTTATTTGGCTTTGAATAAAATGTCTTCATGGTACAGTAGGAAAGCAAAGATTCTTAGCTTTCTCAAATAAGAAATAACAGGAAATAAAAATAGCTTCATAATTAATAATTTCATAAATGATAATTCTAAAAACAAATATCATGTTCTTGAACCACTGGGTCTACATGCAGGGGGCGGAGGGTATTTATTGTCTTCCTGTACTTCATTGCTACTTCAAGACCATCCTTGCTAAACTCCCTGAATTTAAGCCTTATCTTATCAGACTATAGCAATCTCTAACCCTCCTTGTTGGAGGCATCCACCACTCCAAGCATTTCTTTGTTCCACAAATAAATTTTGCTCTTGGCTAACTATCATTCTCTCCAATACAACTCTTATCTTATTTTCTTAATGATTTCAATATCCGTTACAGATCATTCCTCTAATACCCTCACCTCTCAGTTCCGGGAACAACTCTTATTTTATCCACCACACTTTTACCAGCCGCTCACCCCTACAGTTATATCCTGAGACCCTGTCATTCACAATAAGTGAAATCCTTCCATAATCTTATTTTCAAACATCCTACTCTTCCACCACTACACTCCTGTCTTCCCAGTTCCCTCCTTTCCAACATAAATAATCCTAAAATTCCACTGAAACCTACAATCTACTAATTCATCCACCTTTTCACTATCATTTGCCAGCTTCCTCTCATAATTTACCACCTTATCAACTTAAATTCCATGGTAAATCATAATTATTATATTCTTATAAATATTTTCAACTGCCTTGCCTTTGCTTGTTTTGTCATACTCAAGTAGCAAGGTCCTAATCCTGGTTAAATCCAAGTCACCACCTACTCTAGGTCTGTACCCATGAATGCATACGTGGCTTGAGAAAAAGCATACAACTGTGTTGATTGGCCTCAATCAAACTTCATGACCACTAACTTCAAATGAACCCTAATGCTACCTAGCTATCACACTCCATTTGCCTAACCTTTCACTCTTTCACTCTTATAAACTACTGTTTTCCATATCTGCTTGTATCTCTTCAAGCCTCCGATACCTCCTCCCTCATTCTTTCTCTCAACTAATAATTTTACTGCCTGTTTCACTGAGAAAACAGAAACAATTAGAAGAGAATATCCAAAACTTTCCAATAGCACATTGCCCACCTATATAGATCTATACCCCTCTATTCTGCTTTCTTTCCTGTTATTATGGATGATTCCTCTATTCTCCTAGGAAAGGCAAATACTGAATTCTTCCACTTGTGCACTAGGCTCATTTGCTATCCACTACTCAATGATATTGCTCTAGTAATTTTTCCCTGTCTTTCTTGCATCAAATATATTTTTTGCTTCCCTACTAAACCATTCCCAATAACATATGAGTATGCTATAGTTTGTCCCATCTTAATAAAAGAAAAAAAAAAAAAAAACCTCTATTTTTACCCCTATTTCCTCTAGTTGCTGATCCATTTCTCTTTCCCCTTAAATAAAATTCCTCAAAAGAGTTGACCATATTCACTATTTCCAATCTTCTCTTCTCATTCTTTCTGAAACATATTCTAATATGGCTTTTTCCACTACTAATTGCAACTGCTATATCAAAATCACCAATGACCTCCATGATGCTAAATCCAATGGTCAATTCCTTATCTATTTCATGTGTCATAGTTCATCATTCCTTCCTCCTTTGAAATGCTATCTTCCCTTGGCTTCCAGAATATTATGCTCTCCTGGTTTCCCTCTTATTTCGCTAGCAGCTCCATCTCAATCTCCTTTGATGGATCAACCACTTCTCACTTCCTCACCACTATATCCTTAGCCCAAGCCCGCCTTTTCTCTCACCTGGATTATTGCAATAGTTTGTAACTGCTTGAACCCTTGCCCACTACAGTCTACTTTTAACCCAGAAACCAGAGTAATCTCATTAAAACCTGAGTCAGAACATGAATGCCTTCTATTCATATGGCCTCCTCAGACTAAAATACATTTTCTGTCCTTTACTCACTGAAATCTAACTAAAATATGATCTCATATGTAAAACCTTGTGTATTATCTCAAATTGCACCTTACTATGAATTATAATGAGCATTAACCTGTATTTCCATTATAAAAAATTAATGATTGAGACTATGAATAACATTCAAAGGAACAATGTTGAAAATTATTATTTATTCAAATGAAGCAAAATAAGAGGCTTTTAGTTAAGATAGTGCTTCACAGTTTAAACTCACCCTCCTCCAAACACATGGCATAGTAATGATAGATTTTTTTTAAAAAAAAGAATTAAAAATTTTTTTAATTGTTAAAATTCTTCCTACGATTTTTTTATTCTAGGCTAGCTTATAGTCGGTTAGTTAATTAAAGGCATAAAATTTTAAAATACGGTAATTATCTCTGTGGTCATTAAGAACATAATCCTCAATCTAAAATTCTATAGTCAACTACCATACAACAGTAAGAAGAAAATAGAGATATTTTCAAACATAAAGAGATGTTCAGTGCCATAATTAAGGTATTGTTATAACTAACACCAAAGAAAAGTTGTGAAATCAATAACTTCAAAAATAAAATATACCTATTTTTTCATTTTAATATTTAAATGTTAAACTTACTTTTTTCATACTGCTATCTGACCAACCCTCCATCCACAGCACCTGGCATTTTTTATGCAAAGCTGGATTACTCTCACAGTTTATTATGAAGTTTAAATTTGCAGAATCCATTATCAAGACAATATGTAAGTTTTGTTGAATTCCTAAAAAAAATAAGAAAATTATTATAATAATAATAGAATCAGGAAATCTATGTGTGGTCTGGGTTTATGAGATTAAAATTTTCTAAAATGGAATATTAGGAGCTATTTATTAAAAAGAACAAGCTATAAAAAATATTATGGTATGGTTTTTATTTTGGTTAAAAAATACTTTAAAATGTGTATGTGTGTGGCCATTAAGAAAAAGGATATTCATTACAAAACACATGTTTAATTAAAAAAAAAAAAAAAAAAAGAAAAAGGATATTCAAAAGGATTCAAAGGATTCAAAAGGATATTTATGAAGGATATAAGTGTAGTAATATCTGGGTGATGAGATTATTGCCTCATCTTTTACGAATTTCAATTTTAGATATCTACAGTGCACATAAAACTGTTTCTGTATTAATAAAAGGTCATTTAGTTTTCTAAAAAAACTATAAAATCTGGCACAATCTAAATACTTCAATAGTTCCCTAAGATAGAAGGTACTCCAGTGGCACTAATATTACTACATGAAAACAAAGGAAGCATGGTATATATTGCAAAGAACATTATTACACTTTCATCATTACCCTTTGCTAAAATTTTGCTGAAGTGCTTTTATTAGAGCTCAGCCTATAGGCTAGTTATATGTTACTTTACAAAAGCTCCAGAAAAAAGAAAAAGGCATAAATTACCAAATGGATCCAAAGTTTAAGATACCTTTGCAATCTAATGAGAAAATAAGGCAAATTAAATGGCATTTATTTCATATGAACCAGAGTTCAAATTGATTAATGAATCCTACGTCACTTACTATATGTGAAGTAATTGAAGACTGGTCCAAAAAAACCATCCTGTGAAGCTTGATTTTTAAGAGGCAACAGCAAGGGCTCTAATTCTTCAAGGGTATAGAGTCCAGGAACTTCACCTACAGAAAAAATATTATATTTCTTTTTCATTTTGGCTGAATTACACTAATACAAAATATATTTTAATACATGAACATTTTAGATTTTTGTATGAAAAAATCTGCCCTTACTCAATCTTTCTTTCCAAAAATACACAAATGCTATCACCTCTGACTCACAAATCTATGTGCAGAGCCTTCATTTGATAAAATTCAAACTCCTAAGCAAGCCACAGAAAGCTCATAATCTAGCCATCTATCTGCCTTTACAAGTTCTTTTCCCACCATTACTTAGACCTTGTACTCTAGCCTCAAATCCTTCGTGTTCCATAAATATAACAAAATATTCTCTCTTCCTGGAATGTATACCTATGGTCCACCTCTGCCCCTCATCTTCCCAATAAATTCCTGTTTATCCTTTAAAATGCTACTTTGCCAACTGTCATGCCCATAAGCCTCTCCCAACTACCCATATGATAAGTAATCCACTCTTTTCTCTTTTACATACTGTCTGAACCTATCAGTGTTTAGCACTTATCACATCAATTAATAATAACTAATTACTTCTCTCTCCTGCACAATTAGGTTCTGAATTCCCAAAGGACAAATACTTGATGGCATTCAATAACTAACCCTAGAAAATTCTTACCTAAGTATCTGGAACAAAAATATTTGTTAGATGAATGAATGAACGAACAGATGAACTTGTACTAGAAATCCGGACACCTAGTCCATAGCCTGCTACTATGCAGTAACATAATGAAAGGCAAATCAAAGTTGATTAAGACTACAAACATCTGATATGAAGCCTGGACCATGTCTCATTCAGAACTATAAATCTGGCATTTAAAACTTGGCCCTGGGCCGGGCGCGGTGGCTCACGCCTGTAATCCTAGCTCTCTGGGAGGCCGAGGCGGGCGGATTGCTCGAGGTCAGGAGTTCGAAACCAGCCTGAGCAAGAGTGAGACCCCGTCTCTACTATAAATAGAAAGAAATTAATTGGCCAACTAATATATATATATATACAAAAAATTAGCCAGGCATGGTGGCGAATGCCTGTAGTCCCAGCTACTTGGGAGGCTGAGGCAGGAGGATTGCTTGAGCCAGGAGTTTGAGGTTGCTGTGAGCTAGACACCACGGCACTCACTCTAGCCTGGGCAATAAAGTGAGACTCTGTCTCAAAAAAAAAAAAAAAAAAAAACTTGGCCCTGCACACAAAGATTCTTAATAACTATTTATTAAACCAATATATTTGCAATTCACAAAAAACTGTAAGTGAAACTTCCTTTGATATACATCCAAAGCATTGCATTCACATAGGCCTCATCACAATCTGATCCCTACTTTTTTTTAGGTTCACTGAAGAGGCACCAGACCACTGCTTATCCTCCAAGCTTGTACATACTCAAATGTATGCACACATAAATCTCCTTTTTATGTCTTTCTTTAAATTTCAGCTAAGCCAAGATACTTTTGATTCTCTAAATTTAGCAAAGAATGCCAGCTCTACCTACATATTGACACTTTTGGGAATCCGAATTTGAAATAGAAAAAAAAACACATGCCTAGTGAATACTTCCTCTGAAAAGAAACTGCCAAAATTCAACTTTACTTGTGATTTTTGCAGTTATAGCTTAATAATAAAGACCAATTTATCTTATCTTAAAACAGTAATTATTGAGTTAAGACTTATCTGGATGCTTGCTCTCACAATAAAAAAAAAAAAAGCTGTATCTGGTTTATCAGTTTATCAGCCAAAGTGAACAAGGTCTCCATCTAGTGGCAACTTAAGCAATATGCAGGAATGTGTTTCTAAAAATGAAAAGATGTTAGTCTATAAAACGGCCACAAACACTCTAAATCAGCTCTAGAACTACCATTTTCACTAAGCCATTACCCCACAACTATTTAAAAGAAAATGATCTACTACTTGCCTACCTAGAGAGTCCTAGTTGGTATTTCTCATTGGGGCACTAATGTGTAGATACCACATAGTATAAATTAAATGTTTTCTTTAACCAAAGCTGTTAAATTCTGAAGAAAAGACTATTTCACTTCAGAGCCTAGAATAATGCAAAACAAGTATTTATTAAAAACTAAGCTGACCATGTGTTCATATAACTTTGTCCTCAAGTCTCTATAATGAAACCATCCATACAATTGAAAAGTTTTTAACAGGTTTATTTTGTACCTAACAAAATACTCTTGCCCAACTTTAAAACTAAGCTACCTCATACCATTTTACTAACAGTGATTACTCATAAACAGATTCTAATAAACACCATAATTTCTTCAGAAAAGGAAGAAAAACAGAAATTTGCAGGTGTCCTCTCCAGGAAACAAACAAAAATGTCAGGTGACACCACAGACAATAGGAAAGCACCATATTTGCTGGGGATGGAGCCACGGAAGAAGAGTAGATAAAGCCCAAGAGCTATTCAAGAATCAGGCAATGGTTCTTAACTCAGCTTGTGGAAAATCAATTAGGGAGCCTTAATGATCAAATGCCACCCCCACAAAGAATCCAGAGATTCTAATTTAATGGTTTAAGGTGGTAGCAAAGAATTAGTTTTTTTAAATTCTCCAAGTGATTCTAATATACAATTATGATTGAGAACTGCTAGGGAACAGAAATCCATAGTGCTTGGTATTATATCTTGGGGCGGGGGGGGGGCAAGACTCAAGTCAGTAAGTCAGAGGGGCAAAATGTAAGTAATGATATTCAAACAATAAATATCTTGAAAAAACAAAACAGTAAATATTTCTACAATCCATAAAATTCCATAAATATAGAAAACTCACACACTAGCCATAAATTTCTAGAAAGTACTTGGATTAATGTAGTCATCTTTCAAAAGATAGTTTTCTATTATACAAATGTATACTTAACGTACTTACAAGTTCCTCTTTTCCTTAAAAACAATAATCTTAATTTCTTCTTTTAAAAAATGAGATTACTTACTACTTGATTTGTTTTACTCAACTAAAGAAAAAGAAAGGGCATTTTTCTAGGTTAATGAATACAAATATAATCCAGATACATAAACTGTGGGTACTAATGTATATAATTCTGTGGAATTTTATATATCTGGAATATATCTTTGTTCATATATCCACACTAAAGCCATGCCATAATTATACAACCATTACACTACTGATAGAGACAAAGGTTCTATCAAATTTTTTGTGATTACAAATTATACTACATATTCTCTTACATACTAATTCTTTTATTTCTGTGGGTTAAATTCCTACAGATAGTAGAATGCTACATCAAAAGGTATGGCATAATTTTTAATAAGTACTAGTTCATAACTTTCTCAAAGATTATAACAGCAACATTCCAGAGGTATTAGAGGGCCAATTTTTCTGCATATTCATCAATAATATGTTAATTATTAACATATTAATTTACACTGTTAATATTTATATTGAATAAATATTAACAATAACTTTAATATAATTCCTCAATTCTTGGTTTTATAAAAATGGAGTTTCTCAATTCTCCTGCTATGAGAATGTTTAACCTCATGTCACCTTAGTAAAAACTATGGCAAGAGTTCTCTCAAAGTAAATTTTATACAAAATAATTTTATTTAAATAATTTTTACATTATTATTTTTATTTTTTTTAAATAGAAACCATTCACTTGCCTGAGGACAAAAGGCTATTGATCATCTCCAAAAATATAGGATGTACAAACTGGTAATCTTCAAGAAGTAAAACTACCTGCTGTGCTTCAATTCCTGCAAGATGCAGCACCTACAAAATAAAACATTTTTTAGTACCCTTTGAGTATTTCTGGTAAAGTTAAAAATCATCATTCTATGTGCAAAGTATGTCACTATCATGAATTTATTTATTTTTCTTTGAGTAATCAAAATTAAAAGTCAAACTTTAGCCATATAGTTTAGAAAGTAAATCCAAGCAATAAATAAATACTATTTGAGGGAAATTTTAATTATTTTATAGTTAGGACATTAAAATAAAAACTAGAGGTTCATTTTTATACATACCCACATATTTCCTATGCAAATTACTTCCTTTTATTTGTCATTTATGTCCATTTAACATGCCCTGACTTGGGTACCTGGGTCCTAGAAACCATAATAGGAATCTCTTTCTTATCTATAAATAAAAATATAATTTCCTAATAATCATAGGAAAAATAATGATCAAAATTAAAGACTGTGGTATATCAGCAGAATTAAAAGTCTTAAAAGATATTTAGAATAATAAGTAATGTGACTTTAAACCTAACAAAGCAAAAGATAGTGAGCAACTCACATGTTTGAGATCATTTTTGAACTGCTTCAGTTCATATCCTCTGGAAATCTTTGGAGAAAACAGCACTGCACTGTGCATATGGCTGACTAAAGAAGTGATGGTCCGACGGCCTACACCACTGCGTCCTGCTAACAGAAGTGAACCTCCAGGGAAACTCAGCACTCTATCTATCCTAGACATATACTCCAGGACTTCTTGGAAAAGTAAAATATCTAAATTCTGGTTATCTCGTCCATAATGAATAAGACCCTTTTAAAAAATCACAAAGAATATTTTACAATTAATATAAGCCCTAATACATAATAAAATGTTACTTATCTAGATTAAAACATTATATTTTGATACATTCAAGAAATGAAGTGACTTCATGTCATCTCACACCCAATATTTTATTTATTTAGTAATCCAAGCTTATTGGTACTCTCTAAGGAAAAATTCACATGATCTCAAACAAGTTCAAAGGCCCATGAAAATCAGTTACTTTTGGACATTAATACAACTAAGTAAAAGCAGTATGAGACAGTAAGTTAATTATAAAAACTTTAAAATCTCTCAAATTTTATTTGTTATGAACAATTCATACTGACCATGAAAAAATCCCAGAACTCTAGAAATCTCATGTCTAAAAAAAATCTTTTTTCAATGCTTGTTCTTTTGTACCACTTGAGAATAAATTAGAAGCCCACACAGATACCATGCTCTGGCAGTAGTCCCCAACATTTTTAGCACCAGAAACCAGTTCCATGGAAGATAGTTTTTGCACAGACTAGGGGGAAGTGGGGGAAGGTGATCAGGAGGTGATGCAAGTGATGGGGAAGCAGCCCGCCACTCACTCCTACTGTGTGGCCACCCCCGACCCCAGCCCCATTCCTAAGTTCCATGGAAGACAATTTTTCCATGGACTTGGAGGGTGGGAGGCCCAGTGGCAGAGCTTTGCAGGCTGGTCCCTAACAGTGGGTTGGGGACCTCAGTAATAGAGCACAGGAAGGGAGAAACAACATTTAGACTTCAGATGCTTAACAACTTTCAACATTCCCAAATTTTGCAATATCCGTTCCAGGCAAATCAATCGGTTTACCAGACCATGAAAAACCTTTTTCTGATATAAAGTTCACATTAAATTTCAAAATAAATATTAATTTTTAAAGTAATCATATGCAATACTGTTTCTTCTTTTTATTAAAATTAAATTTAAGAAAAGAAACTCTCTAGGACTCTCAAAGTTTCAGCAGATCATAAGCATAAACATCCTCTGGGAGCCTATTAGAAATTTGGACTCTCTAGGCCTGAATTTGATTCTCAAAAGATGGAACTCAGGAATATGAATACTCTCAGTTCTCCAAGTGATTCTGATGCTCACTAAAGTTTGACACCCACTCCTCTAGGATTATTTCCTGATTATTAAGCCTCATTAATATTTCCAACATCAGATACCTTCTCCCAAAATGTATCTTAATAATTTTACACATATCTACATAAGTACATGTGTACTAGTTACACCTGCCACAATAGACTGAATTCCAAAAGAACCAGCTTTTTCTATTCTATGATCTATCTTCCCAATGCACTCAAAATATTTGCAATAAATATTTTTAAAATGACTATAAATGACCAATTCCCAACTCAAATTCATGATTTGTATTCTACCTTTTTAATAACATCCTTGAGATCTGCAGAGTTTAGTTTTCCAAGTGGTTTTCCATGTGGAGGTAATGGTTGCCCTGAGGCAGTCCTTGCTCCTGAGTTATGTCGGGCTCCCCATGTAACATAGAAACTATCTGTAGAAATAAAAGATATTTTTGTTTTATATGCATTGTTAATAGGAGAATCAATAAATACATAGCTTACTAAATTATTGTTAACTTAATTAGTCCAAATGAGATTATCCCCAGAAAGGAAAAGGGAAATTATTTTAAAGTATGCCTTAGAATGTAAGATTGGCCAAAATATAAAGATTTTCAACTGCATATCAAACTCTGCCTAAGAAATGACTGATGGTATCCTAGTCTATATTCCATTTCCTCGTTTCTTTCTCCCAAAATGAACTCCCTTCCTTCTACCTTCCCCTTAATCTTTCCCTTTTATTCTCAGTTTGTCCTATACTTCCCTTCTCCTTCTTCAGAATCTACATAAAATTTGTAAATTAAAAATAACATACATAAAATTGGCAAATAAAATAATCTAAAAACTCTCCTTGAGAAAAAACATAGATGTACCATGAAGAACTCTAAAATAAAAGAAAAATGAACAACAAAAGTTTAATTAGAAAACAAAAAATCCCCCAAACTTCCCTTCCAAACTTCCCTTAAATTTATCTATAGCAGTTTTCCTGCCACCATACAAGGAAAATCTATTCACCATTCTATTGAACCTTTCCCTTCCCAACTCTTCTGGGAGACTATTCCATCAAGTATTCTCCTTGTCACACGCTCATCTCTACACTCTCCTAAAATAACCACCTTACCTTCCCTAGACCCAAGCTACTTCATGTGCCTCTCCTTCATCATCACATTTCTTACATTATTTTCTATCTGTAGAGATTGCTAAACTAAAACTCTTATTTGGGAACAACAATGCAGCCCTAATCTCCAAATCTAAATCTTTTTTGCAGTCACTAGTCCAACATGAATTTTATGCATTTCCTTGAAGTTTTTTCCTTGTATCTACATGACTTTACTCACCAAGACACAATCACTACTCCTTTTCAGTTTTCTGCTTACCCTTTATATATTGATGTTCCCTTGGATCCAAATTCAGCCTTCTATTTTTTTAATTCTAAAAAGTCCCCTTGATTTATTTAATCTTTTTTGTGGGTTAAATTATCATATATATAAATACTTATATATATATATAAATTTATATACCAAAAACTCACCTACTACTTCTCTCTAAGGCAAGTCTTAGGCTCTAGTCTAGTCCCATACTTTCAATTTTTAATACACATATAATTCATACACTCAATTCATTAAACACATCTTTTGAGCACCTGTGTTTAACCAATGTACTTTCTGCTTAAGGTAAGTATTGAAAAGATAAACACAATTCCTACCCTCACAGATTATAAACTCTATGTAAATTTCCAAAAGACACTCAAAAAGCTTCCAAACATTCAAACACATATAAAAAACTAAATTATTATCTTTATATCTCATCATTTCTCACCTGAACTATCACAGTAGCCTTTTATCTTGCATCCCTGCTATAAGTCTCTACCTCCTCAAGTATATTCTCACTGCTAGTAGAGTTAACACATACAAAAACAAAACCTAATTGTGCCAAACCACTCTAATATCACATATAGTTTTCCTCTGTTCCCTTAAAAAAAAGAAAATCTTCTAATGGTGGCCCTTTGCATTCACTGTGTGAATCTCCTATCTGACTCTGTGCTATACACTCTAGCTTTCTCAGCCTCTGTTTCTTTGCATATTCTTTTTCCCTTGTCTGAAATACCCTTCACTTACTATCTTTATCCTTTAAAACACAGTTTGACCACTTATAATCATTATTAAATAAAAACTTAGGTATAAACTTAACAAAACATGTGTAGGACTTGAATGATGAAACCTGAAGATCTAAATAAACAGACCAAATAAACAGAGAGAATTAGAAAACTCAATAATCATGTCAATTCTTCCCAAACCAATACACAGATTTAGTACAAATCCTATCAAAATCTCAGCAACAATTTATAGATATAGAAAAGATTATTCTAAAATTTATATGGAAAGGCAAAGGAACTGAAATAGCTAAAATAATAGAGAAAAATATGCCTTATACAAATAGGAGGAATCAGTCTATCCAGTTTCAAGACTTACATAATAGCTGCAGTAATAAAAACAGTGTGGTAGCAAAAGGACAGACACATACATCAATAGAACAGAATAGAGAACTCACAAACAGAACCACATTACCAATTGTTGACAAAGGTGGAAAAGCAATTCAGGCAGAAAGCGTTTTTCAACAAATGGTGCTAGAGCAAGTGGACATTCATAGGTAAAAAATTGAATCTTAACCTAAGTCTCATTCTTTATACAGGAGTTAAGTAAAAAGGGACCACTGACTCAAATATAAACATAAAACTATAAAACTTTTAGGAAAAAGGAGAAAATCTTCAGGATCTAAGACTAAACAAAGAATCCTTAAACTTGACATCAAAGATCCTTAAAAGAAAAAATTGATAGGTTAGACTTCACAAAATAAAAAACTTTTTATCTTTGAAAGAACCTGTCAAGAGGATGAAGAGACAAGCTACAAAGAGGGAAAATATATTTGCAAACCATATATCCAATAAAAAACTAGTATCTATTAATATATTGATATAAATATCCTCAAAACTCAACAGTAAAAAAAAACACACAATCCAATTAGAAATGGGCAAAAGACAAGAGACATTTCGCCAAAGAGAATGTACAGATGGCAAATAAGTACATGAAAACATGTTGAACTTCACTAGGCATTAGCAAAATGCAAATTAAAACCATAGTGACATATCAATACGCACTTATCAGAATGGCTAATATGAAAAATAGTGACAACACCAAACACTGGCAAGAGTGAGCAGAAATTTCCACTCTAGAAAACAGTTTGGTAGCTGCTAAAAACAACTAAGTGTACAAGTACCATACAATCCTGCAATTGCGCTCCTTACCATTTACCCCATAGAAATAAAAATGTATGTTCACACAAAAACCTGTATATGACTATAGCAAGTTTACTCCTAATAACCAAAGACTGAACACAACACAGCTATCCTTCAATAGATGAATGGTTAAAGAAATAGCAGTACATGCATACAGTGGAATACTTATTCAACAATAAAAAGGAACTACTGAAACACACAACAATCTGCATGTATCTCCACAGAATTATGTTGAATGAAAAATAACATTCTTAAAATGACAAAGTTAAAGAAATAAAGGTGGTTTCCAGGGAGTGGGAGAAAAGCGCTGTGGTTACAAAAGGGCAACATGCTAGATACTATAGTTATGCAAATGTTCTATAACTTAACTGTATCAATGTCAATAACCTGGTTGTGATGCTGTACTAGAATCTGGTCAGATGTTACCATTGGGGGAAACCAGGTAAAATGTGTATGTGCGCTCTCTGTATTAATTCTTACAACTGCATGTGAATCTATAATAATCTCAAAAGAAAAAAATTAATTTAAAAAAAGTTTCAATGTTTCCTTAAAAAAGAATTTCTCTCTACCTCTTCTTTACTGTCTTTTATCCCAAACATTTTCAGAAAAGTGATAATTATAAAACACTTCATACTTGATTGCAATTACCACTTTAACCATCTATTTCCACAAATCCTTGTGGCATCTAAACATACTAGCAATAGATATCACTGTCAGCAAGGATTTTCATCTGTTTCTGCCATTAGATTACAAGCTTCTTGAGGGCAATGATATATCTAGTTTATTTTTTATGTATACGAGATTAAATGTTCTTATAAAACTAACCTTTCACTATGTGAAAATCCTATGTGCCTAGATCTAACATATGTCAAACCTGTGTTTTTAAAAAACCCTTTACTGAACAGCAAAATACAAAAAAAGGGCACATATTATTGACTCTTACATAGGGGTCTCTGAAAGATACCAAAACTCTACAGGATTCAATTAGGTGTCAATATTATATAATGCCCAAAGGATATACCACTTTCTTTGCAAGAAGAGACACTACTGACTCAATTTTCAGACTGAGAAAGATATCACCATTTAAGAACAAAAGCCTGTCCACACTAAGCCCTGAAGACTACAGGCCATAACGACATAAACCCTCACTAAAAACCACACAAACTCTAGAATTTATCAGGCTTCTCTAAGAAATTATCAGGCTTCTCTATGCATTTCATCCTGCCTGAGGTTCTCTTGTACTCATTTCCTGATTCCAAAACTCTGGCAGCACCTAGATAATTCCTCTGTCAATCTCAACATCCTTTCCACCATGTAATCATAGCCCTGAGACCACTATCAAATTTAGAAATGTACAATATATAGAATGTATTATATGAAACATTTTTGAAGCCTAGCTTTATACTCTATAAGAATAAACATGTTTTATAGACTAAAAGCAATTTTTTAGGAAATATTTCCATATTGGGCTCTTCTTTTATCAAAGACCCTCTCATCATGATGATTTTCATATTACATGCATTACTCCCATAGCAGTTTTCAAAATGCAAATTGGTTATTAAGTAGTAATACTTGCAAATACAACACAGCTGCTTTATCTGAATGGTATTATACATTCTTTACCATAACAAAAGATGAAGCTGGTAACAAGAATATGTTAGAGTTCTGTGCTAATGACATTATGGGTAGTGACAGGAATAAGAATGGCCATTAGTCTTAAGCAAAAGGTCATTATAATCAAATATGGATTTTCTCAAAGATCTTTAAAAGTTTCATACATACATAACTGGTTTTTAAAAACCTTTTATTAAAATAATTTTTATATATTTTTTAGAGACAAAAATCTCACTCTTTTGCCCAGGCTAGAATGTAGTAGTGTGATCATAGCTCACTGTAATCTCTAGCTGCTGTGTGTAAACAATATTCTGCCCCAGCCTCCCAATTAGCACAGACTACAGATGTGTGCCACCATGCCCAGCTAATTTTTTTTTTTTTGTAGAGATAGGGTCTCACTATGTTGCCCAGGCTGGTCTTGAACTCCTGGGCTCAAGAGATCTTCCTGCCTCAGCCATCCTCCTGCCTCAGCCTCCCAAAGTGCTGGGATTATAGGCATGAGCCTATGAGCCCAGCCTATTAAAATAATTTACATTGCAAATATAAAGCAATATGGCCTGAACTTCTGTTTTCCAAGAAGAAAATTATAGTCATTATATTTTGTTTGGAATGCAGTTACTGAAATCTAGCAAAAAAGACTGAGCAGTTCTTTATGGAAAAAAATAACACTAAAATTATTCACAGTTTTTTATTTGTATAGACACATAAAAATCACGTTGTAGTCAAGAAAAATAACTTTAAAATTCTCATAACAATCATATATTTACATAAATTCTATTATATTACCTGCCATATTGTCTAATATATCTGAGCCCCAATCTCCTTGAAACACCGATGTTAAAATGTTGTCAAATAAATGAAGTTCCTTTGCACCAACGATTTTGTCACGAAATAAGCGCCGTGCTTCATATGCTACAATTTCTAACACATAATCTAGTGGATGATTTGAGGACCCTAAAAAAGGCAAAATTTTCTTTAATTGTAATGAAACTCAAAGGATTTAAAAATGGTCTGTTTAATAAAATATTAGAAAGAAATAGAGAGTAGGAATCTACATACCATAATTTTGGCATCAGATAAATAGAAGAAAAGGAAAAATAGTTAAAATTCATTTTGTCAATCAGTTGGTACATTTTTTGTGATCACCTAAAGGCTATATTGAACACTATCAAGTCTAGTTGCTTAATAAAAATATCAATTCCAAAAAGTATATTAAATATGTTTTGGCTTCAAAGAATGATTTCTTTTTTCCCAAAATCAAGTTTTAATAGTGACAATCATACAAAGTTTGAAAGAAGAAATACATTATTTTAATAGTAATATTTAAATTTGATAGTATTATAATTTTCAAAATATAATTACTGTTATCATACTCATTTAACATATCTACTACAAATAAAATATACATCATAAATGTATGCACATACACACACACAAAGATACACTAGCAAAACTTACCTCCTTCTAAATCATATCTGAATAAGCCAAGAACCCACTGGGTAAGAATGCAAGGAGTAAAGAAATAGTGACTATAATCATCAACTGTAAATTTGGCCCGCACCTAAAAAAGAAAATATAGTAAATAATCTTTCTATTTTCTTAAATTCATAAGCTATAAATTTTTCAGTCACCTTGGACTTAAAAGAATGCCAATTTCTACTGTATTTGAATGTAACTTATATCATTAGCTATCCTTATATTATATTTTATGCATTTAAAAACACTATTCTAAGAAGAGTTCATAGGCTTCAACAGCTGGACAAAGTTGACCAAAAAAAAAAAAAGGTTGAAAAGCCTTGCTAAAGAAAGGAATTCAAGAAAAACTAACCTAACCTTCATAAAATGATGGTGGCAATTCCAAGGCACTCACAGATCTAAGCAAGAATCATTTTCTTTTTTTTTTTTTTTTTTTTTTTTTTTTTTTTTTTTTTTTTTTTTTTACTAGAAAGATTGGGTGAGATGGAATCATTTTCTAATGGTGGAAACCACAGAGCTATCTTACATTCAAGAAGTCACTAAACAAATCAAAGTGCTTCTCCTCAATATATAACCAGTAAAGAGCCTATCCCTTCCTTTCTGTGGACAGAGCCACTGCTGTAATTTTGATCTTGATCATTTAACATCTGAATTAATTTTTTAAAGTAAGTTGCTGCTTTCTAACTTACCTTGCCCCACTTTGACTCCAGTACTATCAAAAGCATCTTCTGCAAGCACTTCCATAATTTGCAAATGCTATTCTCTTTATCTGGGAGGAAGACCATTTTTCGTCTCCAGCCTCTTTGTACATTTCTATTCATTTTTCAAAACTCAGATCAAATTTTGCCTCCTAAACAACTACCATACACAACAAAGTTATTTACCCCCTCCTCTGTGCTATCTCTGTAACTTGAACATACTATTATTAAATTTATCACACTACATTAATGTTTATATGACTCTAATCCTTCATTAGACTGTGAACTTCCAGAGAAGAGACTCAGTCATCTGTGCCTCCCTAGGACTACCACTGGCGAGCAAAGGTGCTCAATAAATGTCTTGTGCATCCTCAAAGCCTGTTTTCAAGTATCTTCCCCACTTTATGAAGGAAGAATACAAGGAAAATCAAGACATTTCCTCATAGGCAAGAGGAAAGAAATAAACATTAAAGACTACTCTCATGTTTGAAGAAGACTGGAAGACAGAAACTGATAGAAGGTAGGAGAAAGATCTGGTTTTGGAAGTAAGATGAACTCCATTCTAAATATGCTAAATTTTAACTGACGACAGACTAAGTAACCACCACAAATCTATTCATTGAGCAAGTATTTATTGAGAGCCTATTAGACACTGTGTCATGGATACAATAGTGCATAAGGCACACCTAGCACCTATCCTCACAGAGCTTTTGCTCTAGTAGAAAAATCTAATAAACAGGAAAGTAAAGCCTGGGCATCAACACGGAAGTCACAATTAAAGGTAGTCCTTTGAGGTTGCTACTAGAGGACATGAAAACTATAATATAAATGCATATATACCTGCTCATACACTTGTACCATAGATCCTGCTAAGAGATAAATTTTTGATGAAGAACCCCAAATAGAATGATTTTTCAGATTTTTATGTAGAACTGGTTCCAAATAGGCTCCATATATTGTTTGCAATTGCTCTCTTTCTGGGTAACTAAAAAATGACAAATAAGAAAGAAGAAAGTTAAAATAAATCAATATTCTAAATTATTTCATTGTTAAGTTACAGCAGTGGTTTCCAAACTGTGCTGCTCTGAGAACTAGATACCTCTGAGGCTTACCACCCAAGGATAAGGCCAGGCTCAAGTTCCCTATTCTCACTTCAACCCAATTTCATCTCAAAGTATCTACTATCAAATGCTGGGGGTCCTAGAAGAGGACTCAAAAAAATTATTTTAAAACATTATCATTTAAAAACTACTGATCTTTAGAAAGGCCAAAAGGAAAATTTTACTTAAAAAAAGGCATTCTGAATTAAGTATAGCCTGTACAAAGGGCAGTAATCCATGTCAGAACTATAAAAGTAGGACCAATACAGCAAATAAAAATCAAACCATTTTTCCCAAACCAAAATTTATTTCAACACCGCATAATTGATGGCAGGAACACTTCTCAAAATCTTAACTGACTGGGTAAAATTAGCATGAAAGCATATAAACAAGGTTTTGTAATATTCAAATATTTGTAATATGATATTTGTAAGTTCAATATAAACAGAGAAGACAGTGCCATAACCAGAAAATTTGGTAGTCCCTATAAAAATTATGGACCATGGAGACAGATACATGTATTAGGATTGATGCCATCAGCCATTAAAATGACCTCTCTCTCCCTTGTTCAGATTTAAATTATCTTTTTAGTTATCTTCATAAAATTTGATAGTATTTTTTTTTCATGAACCACATAAAACATTTGAATCTAAAACTCACCATTCAGATTGCTGATACTGACATTTCAGAACAAGAACTATACAAAACAGTTCTATTTCTTTATGTATTTCAAATAAATAAGATGCTTTGATTAAAGCCTTTATCATACTAAATTATTAGCTATATTTAGGGAAGGGTAGGAAAAAATTTCAGAGCTAAAGTGTTTTTATATTTTTATATTCTATGTTTTAAAAAAGTATCAACTGATCCTTTAAGTAAAATGCAATTATATATGATGTTTCCTTAAATTAAAAAAAAATTTTAAAAACTAAAATACATACTCTATAGCACAAAGACGAACAATAGAAGTAAATCTGGTAGTAAGCTTGTGTCTTCCCAGTCTTCCTCCAGCTGACATAGAAGCCACAATTTGAATATTTTCTATACCAACCCATTCCAAATTCTCATCATAAAATCCTTGATATGTCAATACCTATTTGAAAAAATATATATTTCAAATGTTTTATACTTAAGATTTTCTAGTAATGATAAAAGATATTTTTGCCTAAGTTTCCATTATTTCCAAACACGATCATCATCTTCTACCTAACTCAAGAATTTAAGATTGAAATATATCTTAAATTCTTATACCATTAAAAAATACTGTTCAAATCTCTGTGTTCTATTAATGTTAGGGTAAATTATCCTAGTTTTTAAAATGTTTCTGTCTCCAATAAACACTATAATTCAGAGATATTATAAATCTACTAGCAATTATCAAAAAAAGTGAAAAGTCAGGGTGAACATAAGGGATTTTTTTTCTATAAATATTTCACTATATTCTGCAGTTAAACAGTAAAGTTAAATTTAGACCTAAATTTAGACCTAAATAGGCATAATGAGTTCTAAGAATTTAAAGTTTCTAGTAATAATAAGATGTAAATAACATAAAAAGGAAAAAATCTTTCACATTGAGAATATATGATCTCAAATCCTTATATAGGCAAAGAGGGAAACTAATGGGCTAACACAGCCAGAAATAAGGTATGACACTAAGTGTAACTGCTGTCAGTAGAATGCATACTTTAAAAAATGAAGGAAAATTCCACAAACTCCAACATCATCCCCAGCTTCTGCCTTCCTCCTTGTTTAAGCAACAAAGGACAGGTAATAGATGTAGAGTAAAGGCTGTTTCTATTCTCCCCGTCATATATCATCTTGATATAGTACTAACTTTTAAAGGGAGGAAAATCAAAAAAGGTAGAACTAGAACAAGATTAAAATGCTTCAGGAGTTTAATTTCCATGACACATCCAGGTAAAACTGGCCCTGAAGGAGGAAAGCAGATTTTCTATCTATAAGAAAAATTAATGAAATTAAAATATTTCTAATTATATTAAAACACTTAAAAGTGATAAGATTTACCTGTTGTAGGAAAGCCACTAAAGTACTGGTCCCCCATTTATCAAGCTTGGGTAGATTGATATCTTTTAAGTACAAAACAAGTCTTTCACAGTCTTTTGGTCTGTATACACGACCAGTATTGGTACTGATTACCATGCAAGTCTGGCTCAATTTCTGCAGGAGATGTCGAGAAGTAGTTTGTGCACTACAATGAACTGTAGCGATTTGAGTGGACCGTAGTTGGGAAAAGGCATACCTCAGAAGCATCCTATGAAAAATGCACGACATCTGACTTGATGAAAATGCAACCAACAAAATATATGTTATATTCAATATAAAACTTGTATTTTATAAATACTTCAATTTCTAAAATATGTATGATGATGTTTAAGGGTAAAGTGGTAAACATGGATACAGTTTCCATAACTATCAAGGTATCTTTCTAACCTTTAGATGAGAAAAAAATAAATGCATATTTTAAGGCATTCTTAGGAGGAGGTTTCAGTCCAAAAAAATCAAAGTTCTCAGAAGTAATCTTGTTTGATAAAGTAAATATAGAATATACCAACTGTTTCCTCATGGTGGAAGAAAAGATGTTAAGATTTTAAGTTCTCCTAATTAAAAAAGAATTACCATGATTTTACAGAATTTTTTAAATTACTACTCTCCCACTAGAAATGTGAAACTAATAATCCATGGCTCCTTTATTTCAAGAAACTGTGCTCCATAGGCACTAAAACTAGGCTGAATTCTACTGACTTAAAAGCTATTTTTAAGGAGTGAATGTGAAACTAGAAATGTGAAACTAATAATCCATGGCTCCTTTATTTCAAGAAACTGTGCTCCATAGGCACTAAAACTAGGCTGAATTCTAACTGACTTAAAAGCTATTTTTAAGGAGTGAATTTCAAGATTCAAATTTTATAACTAACACTAATAGTAATTTCTGAATATATCTAAGTTATTCATTTTTTGTTGTGATTATATGCACAGATTCTTTTGGAGAGTATCTTTTCAGATTATTCTCTTTCCATCAGAAATCACATAGCCTGGCAGAGAAAGGGATACCTTCTTTTCCATAGTCATTATTTTTATATGTAATGAAAATAAAAAGAATCCCCTATGAAAATGTAAATGCTACTTTAACCAAAATAAACATAACAAAAGCTGTTAAATCGTATGGTGGGGAGGGTTAAATCCACAATATACACCTTTATAAACATTTTTCTTACCCTTTGCCACATCCTTCTGGTCCTACAAGAATGAAGGGTTGTTTGGTATTAGAACTCAACCAAGGTTTGAAATAATCTAGACCTCGCTGCATGTCAGGAGTCTGAATGACTGGAAGAGTGTGGCTATTACTGAAATCATCAGCAGTCAAGTTTTCTGGCTTCTTCAGCATATAAGATGCTAATCGTTCTCTACTGGAGTCATAGTAGGTATCCATTGGTCTGTGAAAGTCTGGAGGAGATTCTCGTGCCCAGTTAAAAACCTTAAGAGGAAAAAGGTTGTGATAAGTTTTTACATACTCCAGGGTGTATGAAATTTTTTAATTCTTCAAAGTACATGTCCCAAAAGTGAATCATCTTAGTTCAAAAAAAAGTTCACAAACACTAAGTCTGTTCTGTAATTAAAGTTAACATCTTATCTCAAGTGTTTTTCTCGAAATGACCATGTAAGCAAATGAATAAAACTATAGAGGATGATGAGTTGGTAGATATTAATTCACACACCAAGATATATTCAATTTTAATGGAGTTCTTATGAACATCAAATCACAAATTACAGAATGCAGAAATTCTAAAGCCCTTCATTTTAACCATATTTTGGTACTGCCCATTCCAGTGTTACTACCACTGCTCTCAACATGTTATTCTTCTTTCTAATACCAAAAACTGTTATCTGTGCAGGTATAAAGCAGAGTCAGCTCCTAATGCTACTCTTCAACACATTTATTCTAAACTTTAACAAGAGAGTATCTGCTTAAACGCAGCACAGAGTACGGCATTGAGTGGTAACAAAGAGAAGCATCTGGCAACAGAGGCAACAGGATGACCATGGAAGGGGAAACAGAATAGAGAAAGCAATAAATGATGCTATCAAAGAAGCAAAATGGAAAAAAGCTGGCATATAATACTGGAGCCAACCCAAAGGAATACATGCTCAATTATTTCCATAGAGGCCAATTGGAAGAAAATTCCTCATTGTGTAGAATTCAGCTTTAAAAGTAATTTAGCTAAAATGCAACTTTTATATATATTAAAGAATCAATTATTAATCCATCCTAACATTCCTAATTGCTAAAACTGTTCTAGTTAAAAACATGATTTAAAAAACTACATTATTCTAAGATTAAAAATGAAATAATTTATTTGTATAGTTAACTAAGTTCAAAAATGCTAACTTCAAGAAAATATGGTTCAAATTTTAGCTTATTAAAACATTATAAAATGTTAAGAAATTATCAAAAATAATAAACTACTACAAAGGAGCAAACAATTATATATACATATATAAATGCATTATTACTCAATTGAATGCATAATTTCAAAATTTTAAAGTTCTATACCTTATACTTACAAATTAGTGTATTTGGCAGTCAATGAAAAGTTAAAGTTTTGATTGAATACAGGCTTTAAATATGCATTACCTCTTTGGTGAATTCCAAACGTGATTTTATGTTGAGATTTCCACCAAGTCCCCTTATGAGATTAATAATAAATTGGTCATGATCTTTGCAGCCATGTAGATGTGACAAACCATTCATCACAGTCCCAACCAAACTTGTTTCTACCACATAGTCATTCTGTTGATTAAAATTGATGGTACAAACAAACAAAAGGCAAACATTAACCAGTAAACTTAGAACCATACAGACTGACATTCACATATCTTTTCAAGGACCACCTTTAAATTCATCCCTCTATTCAAGTTGTAGGAAGTTTGGATTTCATTATATATACATATATATGCTTTTAAAATAAAAAGTAATGGTGAAAACACAATTATATATTTCTAGTTATAAGTGCTAGAGTCCTGAAATAGATGCATGATTTATTTACTTCCCAAACCTAAAGAATACAAAAGAAAAGGTAAGTTAGTGGCACTGGTCTAAAAAGAATAGATGTCCATTTTCTCTTGCTAATAAAAAGGAAACTAGAGTCAAGAGATAGATTGATGGCACTGGAAAAGAAAGGTTAAGAAAAGCAAGCTTAAATGAAAAATCATTTGAAGCTTTCTCTGTAAACAGAATTCTAAAATAAAATTTTGGGACTTAAGTGGTGTAGATGGCTTAATCTGAAGGGGCCTCTGGTAAGTGTTGGGCAGTTCAGAGGAAAAATACTTCTCACAGTCTTTTCATAAATATTTACTGAGAATCAATCATGCATTAGGATATGTATGTGGTGCTAGGTATAAAGAAAAGGTGGTGCTAGGTATAAAAAAGAAAGGTGGAAACAGAGTCCCTGCTTCTCATGGAACTCAAGCATAGTAGAGGAAATGATTAACAAACTGTAGTAAGACTGGCTGGGTGTGGTGGCTCATGCCTGTAGTCCTACCACTTTGGGAGGCTGAGGCCAGGAGTTCGAAACAGCCTGAGCAACATAGTGAGACCCCTGTCTCTACTAAAAAAAAAAATTTAAAAATTAGTGTGCCTCTAATCCCAGCTACTCAGGAGGCTGAGCCAGGAGGATTGCTAGAGCTCAGAAGTTTGAGTTTGCAGTGAGCTGTGATGACACCACTATACTGTAGCCCAAGCAACAGAGCAAGACTCTATTTCAATACAAAAAGAAAAGAAAAGAAAAACCCGTTGTAGTAAGAGCTATAACCAGCAGAACAGAGTGTTGGGAGAAAGGGTAGTTCTGGGCTTTAAGCGCAAGCTCAAGAGGGCTCAAGGCTTCTTCGAAAAAGGTGACATTGGCCAGGCGCGGTGGCTCACACCTTTAATCCTAGCACTCTGGAAGGCTGAGGCAGGAAGACCGCTTGAGGGCCGGAGTTCAAGACTAGCCTGAGCAAGAGCAAGACCCCAACTCTACTAAAAATAGAAAAATTAGCTGGGCGTGGTGGCACATGCCTGTAGTCCCAGCTACTTCAGAGGCTGAGGCAGCAGGATTGCTTGAGCCCAGGAGTTTGAGGTTGCTGTGAGCTAGGCTGACACCACGGCACTCTACTCAGTGCAATAGAGTGAGACTCTGTCTCAAAAAGAAAAAAAAGAAAAAGGTGACATTTAAGCTAACATTGAAGGATGAGCTCTATTAGATCATGCAGAAAACATAGCACACACAAAGGCAAACTTAGTGCAGTTAAGGAATGAGAAGTTTCCATGCCTGAGTAAGCAAGGAAACAGTGGTTTAAGTCAGAGAAACAGGTAAAGGCCAGAGAACAGAATGTATAGGCTATGGTAAGTAGTACAAATTTTATTCTGTTTTTAATATGTGTTTTATAATACAGTAAAATGATATAATTTACACTTTTAAAAGATCACATTGCCTCATAATAAATATTTTTGGAAGAAAGAAGAAATGGGAGGAGAAGGAAGAAGGGAAGAGACAAGTAGAAATCCAAATGGTTATGTCTTGCTAAGAGTTCTAGATTTTAAAGGCAAGATGAAGGAAACTTACATATTTTAATTGTCTTTAATTGTCTTATTTACTGAATTAATACAAGAAAGTAAAGTTCTATCTCACAGGCTGAGGAAGACAAAAGAAAAAAGAAAGCAAAGTGCTAGTTATAAACACAATTTCAACATTTGATTAGGGTGTCCATTATAGTATACCAAAGAAGCTGAGCATAGTAAACAAAGTGTAGAATAATAAGGAAGGAACATTTACACTCTATATGTTTTAGATTAATGAAATAAATATCTGCTGAAATGATGCTATAATGTAGGTGTCAGGTATTTAATCAAGGACAATACTATCATTCATTCACTACTCTCATCACATTTGGTTCCAGGGATGCAATAAGAAGCATTGATAGGCTTGGCCCTCCCTTGTCTAAGGTGCTTATAGTCTAATATAAACAAGCAATTGTAATATAGTTGGTTGGTGCTATATGTTGCTACAAAAGCACAAAGGAGACAGTTCAGTCAGACTGGGACTGGTGGGAGTGATCCCTTTTTTGAGGCCTCTAGAAAAACCTATCTCGTTTGCATCACCTCCTCACAAATCTCTATTTCTCCACCTTTCATTCTCAGAGTCAGAAAAGAAAATGGCTGAGAAAACTAAAGCAAGATCTCCCTTTTTCTGTCTCTTGGTCAATCCAAAGTATTGACTCCTAGATCAAATTCAGATTAACAATCAGATACTTTCAAAAAACTCACTGCTATTTATTTTATGCTTTCATTTTTCATAAAAGCAATGAAATAAACATGTAGAATATCTGAACAATCTCCATGGCTTTCTTTGCATGCTAAACTTCTATTCACGCTTCATATTCAAAATCAAGTATGATCTCCTGTTCAAACCTCTTCTAAAAGATGGCAATATTCTCTTCATCCCCTGTTGGATTGTGATTACCTATTTGCATGTCATTTCCCTCAATCAGATAAATTCCTCTCAAGGAAAGGAATCTCTTCCTGATTTCCACCTCTCAAAATCTCTCTAGTATTATGCTTCACATATATTAGAAATTCAATATATTTTTGCTAACTAAACAAATGTTTTCATCATTATTACAAATAACTCATCATCTTTTTTCTACTTTGGAATTAGCTTCATATTTTTTTTTGAGACAGACATTTTTTGTCTCTAGACTCTGTTGCCCGGGCTAGAGTGCTATGGTGTCAGCCTAGCTCACAGCAACCTCAAACTCCTGGGTTCAAGCAATCCTCCTGCCTCAGCCTCCTGAATAGCTGAGACTACAGTCATGTACCACCCCACCTGGCTAATTTTTTTCTATTTTTAGCAGAGACAGGCGACTCGCTTTTGTTCAGGCTGGTCTCGAACTCCTGACCTCAAGCAATCCTCCCACCTTGGCCTCCCAGAGTGCTAGGATTACAGGCGTGAGACACCACACCGGCCTTCATATTGTTTTTAACATGATATATATGTAAGAATTTATGGACATATCAGTGCGATGTGACAGCAAGATGGTTTGCTAGTAAAAATTATAAAGATATTCCAAGATTCAAGACTTTTAGGTAAACAGAGTGAGGTATTGTGGATGAAAGAAGTAAAGTGTTCTAAGATTAACATAATAAAAAATTATGATAAGAGAGATAGAAGGTCAGCAGTGGCATCTACCTGTCCCTTCATCCCCACATTCCAGTAGAGCTCTTTCACAAGGCAGCTAAATGTAAATACCAGCTTTAACCATTATACTTCTTGCCTCGATTAGTTAGGAAATATTATGGTTGATTTACCTGCTTTAGAACCCACTGTAAAGCTTTTTCAAAATAATCTCTAATCCAGTTTTCAAGATTATTCCTATATTTAGCAGGCTGATTCCTCAACCAAGATTTTATCAAAGAATTAAGATCTGTCTCTTCATCACTGAAACATTAACACAAACATATAAGAAATTATTAAGAAGACATTTTCAATTTACTTTCAAATAAGTTTCTGTCCAATAAACTTTATTCCATGCATATATTTTATTTGCTAGCATACAAGAGCTGACTTTAGTTACTTCTGTGTGTATAACACAGTTACTTCTGTAATATATATATACATATAGCTGTACATACAAATATATACTATTTTCTATAGAATATAAAGAAGTTATTTTCATCTATTTTATTACAACTATACACTAAAGAAGTACATATCAACAAGTTAGCCTAAGGTAGTCTAAACCCTTCCTACTAAAAAATACTGAATCTCAAGTCCCATTCACTCCAGACCTATAGAAGCAAAATCTTCATTTTAACAAGATCCCTTGATGATGCAAATGGACATTAGAGTTTAAGATGCACTGTTCTAAAGTGTAATATAGATCTTTAAGAATAGTTTTTCTCTATTCCATACAAATCCAACTACCTAAATTCCCATGCCACTGTTAAAACCTAAAGATCTTCCTAAAGTAAAATATAATTCTTAGCAAAATATGTAATTATGTGAGTAAAATCCATGATTGCAATTAAATATAATATTCACATCTTATTCAAAATTATATCTTATATAATTATAGTAAAATTCAGATTAACAACTCAGATTAATAATTTCAATATTGACAAGGGCTCATGATTTTGTCATGTATTTCCTATCTTCTACTATTGTTTCATAGCAACAACACTAGTAAATACTGAGCCCTTGAATTTCTCCTCTCACATTTTCTATTCAGTCTAATATGAAAAAGAAAAACAGAAAGATCAAAAGTTAATAATTAAATTACATTAGATCATCTCAAAGCTGCCAAACCAGACTCTAAACTCCTTCAGAATACTTTCTTTCTTTTTTTTTTTTTTTTCAGAATACTTTCTTATCAATGCCTATGGAGACCACATGTCTTGATTTGTCCAAAACAACTCTGCTTCATACCATTTGCCCCAGCATAATTAATAACAACACTGTATTTCACTATTAAAAGATCATTTGGCCTATAACATAGCAAGTGTTCAACAAATACCTGCTGAAGGAATGAATGAAACCTAAAATTAAGGTATAAACTAAACACATAGCAATCAAAAATATTAATAAATATTTGTATTTTACAAGAAACCATATACATTCATTATTCATTACACCTCTCAAAAACAATACCTGGTTCACCAATGATTTTCAAATCCTCTATAGTAATATGTGGTCTTTTTTCTCTGCTAAATATCTATGCCATCTACTTACTGCTTATTTCATTTATATTCTATCTTATATAATTGTTCTTGTATTCATTTTGCCTACTGTACTTGAAAGCATTTTCAAAAACAAATCCTCTATAAATGTTAGTTTTACTACTGTCTTGCTCTGTTTCTCCTAAAGTGCCTAACTTAATGCCATGTACATAATATTAATAGATACTCAACAAATATTTTAAAGTGTAACTGAAAACTTACCTTTATTCTGTTTTTCTCACAAGGTTATAAGAATACATTGAATAAATACAATACATTGTGTGAGAAGACTGCTATGAAAGCTATAAACTCCCAATTATATTATTTTTAATAATATCCCAAATATCAACTGAAGTTTATGACTAATGTAAATGTTTCCTATAACACTGTCAAAGAATGAAATAATTTTTAAAACACAACTTGCACCAACTTGATTACACTGTCATATCATACAACACCTAAAATAACTTCAAATGGCCCTAAAAGAGTCCAGCAGTTTATGTAGGCTGATTAACAACAAATTCTAAAACATAGTAACAAATTCTAAACATATAAATAAACAAATTCTAAACAAATTCTAAAACATAAATTCAAAAGTAAAATAAAACTTTTTTACTTATGCCAAAATGTTACTCATTTTGGGAAATAATATTGGTTCACATGTCTATACTCTGGTTTGTGACTACTATACATGATATCTAAAGTTAGTTAATTATTTGTTTTTGCTCTTTAAGCCTGTTCCAAATACACTAAAGAAGAAAGAAAATATTAAGAAGTTTTCGATTTGTAAAATGAAAAGGTTGGACCATAACACCTATTAAACCTTAGTTAGCCCTAAAATTATATGAATCTAAAATTCTATGATTAAAATATTACTACTTAGCTTTAAATTATTAGCCTCTACCTCATAATTAATATGTTCACGTCTCTGAACTCAATCATAATATTTAAATAAAATAAAGAAGAAAAGTTAAATACTTGCTATTTCTCTTAAACAAAAATATTTAGCCATTATAATACAACTAAGCTGCTAAAATAATTTAATTATATAATAAAAGAGGAACTCTCTGAATGATTTAAAACCTGAGAAAAAATAAGTTAATCATAAATGAGAAAAATAAAAAAAATTTTTTTTGAGACACAGTCTCACTCTCTTGCCTGGGCTAGAGTGCCGTGGTGTCAGCCTAGCTCACAGCAACCTCAAATTCCTGGGCTCAAGTGATCCTCCTGCCTCAGCCTCCTAGGTAGCTAGGACAACAGGTATGCACCACTATGCCCAGCTAATTTTTCTATATTTTTTTTTTTAGTAGAGACGGGATCTCATGCTTGCTCAGGCTGGTCTCAAACTCCTGAGCTCAAGCAATCCTCCCACCACAGGCTCCCAGAATGCTATGATTACAAGCGTGAGCCACCGTGCCCGGCCTGAAAATAAGTATTTATACATTATTTACACTATACTTATTTTACTTAGCTATGAAACCAGGGTAGCAACTGCAGAATATTCTAATATAATGTATGTAAATGCTCTATGACTTACCTAATAAAGATCATCCCCATTCTAGATATTGTGGCTGGTGAGGCACAACTTAAATCATGAGTTTCAAATACAAAATTAACATTTGGGCCAAACTGAATTCTTTCTCCACTGGGCATAGTTAGCAGTCGATTATCATCCAAAACAGAATTCAGAGATTCTATCCACTCAGGATCAATATCACCATCACAGATAATCCATGAGCTGACATCTATTTTCAAATCAAAATAATAGAGTTAAAATAAAAATATATGCAATGATAGTAATTAAAAATAAGGAATAAACTAATTGTCTCATTATTTAGAAGTGATTTCCAAAAGTATATATTATTTCATATTACTGAAGCTGAATTTAAACAAAAAGTTGAAAAAGCTGAAAATTTTCATATGAATTTGTACTACAAATGTGGTGAACAATCCTGGCTCAGTTGGCCAAAGTCTCAGTTATATATCCTACAATAATGCTTTATTTATCTTATAAACATATGGAATTGGTAATTTCACTAAAGGAAAATGTGGTGTGCAAGACTTGGGTATTTCTACTCTTATGAGACACCTATAAGATAGTCTTCAGACCTTTGTCTTCTACCATGTCATGAGAATGTATGAATGCTTGCTTTGTAAAATCTCTCTTAGACAATACAGAAAATCCAATTCTCAGAAGCCTACATGAGAAATAAAAAATTCACCACCATCAAAAGTTTTTGATATATAAAAAGGTGAACTCCAAGAGGGAAAAGCAGTGGTCAATTGTACATAGAGTCTTTACAGGAAAAAACCTTTTTCATCCACCCTTCCTGTAATAAAATGGGAGTAGTTCAAGTTGCACATGGACCTTTAAACAATTCAAAGAGGAAAATGTCACCAATGAAAGTGTGAGAAATACATAAACGGTAATATCTGGTTTTTACTTAATGTAATAGTACATAGAAAATGAAGAGACTACATTAAAAATACCCTCCAATGTCTTAGAGTTTCGATTCTTTCACTCACTACCTTGGACAAATAACTATTAATTAAATTATGACCTGGCAAAAAGAAGGGAGTCTCCTCTGATTCTAGCCAAAAATTCTCTTAAAAATCAAGTAAAGTAAATTGAGACCAAGAAGTCCATTGTTTGACCACTTAAATTTTCAAAGTATTCAATATATTGTACTTTATTCAAACTGATGAGTGAATGCTCATACACACTAAATTTAACCCCAAACAGAAATTTGTCATCTTGCTTATTTATAAGGCATTATGATATCAACTCACCAAAGATTTTATATTTATTCAGTAAATTAATCTAGTTATCAATTACAATTCAACCAATTTACTCTAAGTTTCTACTATATTAAAAGTAGTTATAGAGCGTTAAGTCAAAATGATAGCATGATATCCAGATATTACCGTTTATGTATTTCTCACAAAATGATAGCATTAACACCTTCCAAAGCAAAATACCAAATGTACAGCATTTGAAGGCAGTTTATGGTCCTATATAAGCCTTGATAAAGATATCATTATAGATAGATTCTATCTTTCTCTAAGAATTATTAAGTAAAGCAATGAATTATACATAGAGACCAACCTGGAGGTTCCCGAACGACTTGACGAGCACTATTTGTCAAAACACCATCAGACCACTCTCTTGTATCCATGTCAATATGTCCTAATAATTGATATCTAGGCATAGCTTTGGGATTCATAGTGTATTGTTTTACAACTTTGCCAATTTTACAAAGTGCTGCTCTTAACATTCTCCAAAGGGTTGATTTGCCAGCACCACTTGGACCAACAATAACAACTCCCATCCTCTGGCGTAATTGTTCATACAATTCTAAAGCCTTTTTGATCTAGTAGGAAAGAAATATGTTCACATATGGTTTAAAATAATCAATCACACTCAGTTCTGCTTTCACTCTACAACAGTTGTTCTATTCCAACATGTAAATTAAGCCTTTGATTTCTTCAGTGGAAGATAAAGCCTCAAATAAAACAATACCTAAATAAACCAGAACAGTTACAATATAAGCTTTAAATTCTTCAATATTTCTTTGAAAGAAACAAAGGTGGTTTCCAAATTTTTGACAACACAAACGATATGGATTATTTTCTTTGTTCATTCATGCATTCATTCAAATATATTCATTATTTTATGAGAAAGTGAGATTTAAATTGAAAGATAAAAAGATAAAAGATGAAGGATAAGGATAGTTAGTAAGGAATTAACTAGGAAAATAAATCAATCTATTATAAAATATTCTTGATAGCTACCTGATTGGATATAATTTCATAATTGGCCTCTTCAAAGACTTGCTTTAATGCAGCACTTAGTTCAGCATATTCTACTTCTTTAAAGTCAATTCCAGGAAAGACATCTTTAATCAGTGCATCAAACCGGGTGCAATCAGCAAACGTAAACTTTGACATTGTATTAAGCCTCAATGCTTGTACCACAATATGACTTTCATTAACTAGAGAAAAAGTTTCATTTTAAAATGATCAATTTAATGACTATAAAAGTTTTTAAGTATTATATAGCCTTCATATGCATTATTAATCATTAAATGACACAATAGACTTTATTAACATTTATAGACATATTACATCATGTGAATCAGCAAGCTTACCTTACTATCTTTTGACTGCTAAAAGATAAGTAACGCTAAGTAGAGTTATAAACTTTTTCCATAAATTTGGGATTTCCCAAATTCCACTGATTTGAATCCCAGTGTACCCAGACTTTAATAATAAAAGTCATTAGCACTTATCTTTGCATAGTACTTCACCTTTGATATTATATCATGTCATCCTTATAACATCTCTAGAGAGGAGGTAAGAAAGTATTGCAATTATTATTATAATTTTACGTATGGGAATGTTAAGTCTCTAAAGGTTTAAGTGACTTCCCTGAGAAGATACAGCAGTATGTATGTATTATGGCTGGGATTCAAATCCAGGTAAACTAATTCTATATTCAGGTGTGTCTCTAAATATACCAATTTTGTCTCCCAGAGAGTTTATGTCCTTAGACTAAAAATTAACAAACTGAGCAGCAATCTGATCAGCCTTGTTCAAAAATGATTCACAAACCCATTTTTTTTTTTTTAGAGACAGAGTCTAGGCTCTATTGCCCCAGTTAGAGTGCAGTAGTATCATCATAGCTCACTGCAACTTCAAACTCTTGGGCTCAAGCAATCCTTCTGCCTCAGCCTCCTGAGTAGCTGGGACTACAGGCACATGCCAACACATCCAGCAAATTTTTTCTATTTTTTAGGAGAGACAATGTCTCACTCTTTCTCAGGCTAGTCTTGAACTCTTGATCTCAAGCAATCCTCCTGCCTTGCCCTCCCAGAATGCTAAGATTACAGGTGTGAGCCACCATGTCCTGCCCACAAACCCATTCTTAAACCAAATGCAAATACTGATATCATTGCCAGAGACTCTTATTTTCAAGGATATAAGCTGATTGATAACATACATAAACAAAGTCAAAAAAACTATTTTTAGCCTGGCATTTCCTTATAATTGCTTAATAGTGCTATGTTTAAGTATATAGAGGCTTGACTGTTCTAGAATTTATTTCAAGCACTGATCTCATAAGCTATATTTATTTACTACAGGTATAGTGTAAATATTTGTTACAAATTATGAAAGATAGGTAGCTGAAAAATAGTAATTTAAGCACTTCACAAAATATATCTACCCTGGCATATGCCAACCAAATAATATAGTTAAAATAGATTCCATTTTTAAGATATACATTTTCATCATTTAAATTTCAAATGGGTAATTTCATATAGTCCTTTTTTTCTATGCTGCCTCATATTTTCACAGTATAACTGAGTTTTTAATAGCAACCTGAAGAGACTAATTATTCAGCCTTTCACGAAGGTGCACATCCATGGGTGGCAAGAATCATTTATTTTATGAGAATGAAAAATCATTTATAAACAATATATATATAAATATATATGAGTCCATACTAATCTAAATAAATGATTTAATAAGTACATAAATAAGGGAGAAAAGATAAATCTTCTCTATAGAAAAATTTCAAATAATACATGCAAAAACTTCTCCCTCCCTCAAGGAGTAGACCTTGCCTCCCCACTTTGAAAGTAAACTAGATTTAGTAGCATGCTTCCAAAGAATAAAACAGGGAAAGTAGAAGACAATAACTGTACAGTGGAGAAATCTGGCAAACACTACTTTACCCAAGTGATGAAGGTCAAGATCACCAGTGGTGTCATGTCGTTATCATGTACCCACTGACACGATGTGATAAGGAAGACACTCCACCTCTGAGGTATTCTTTCCAAATATTCAAAACCCAGTCTAATCATGGTATACTATCTTCTAAAAGAGAAAATCCCCATGTGTTTCTAAGGTTTCTATCCTTGTTTTAAGACAGGACAAATTCCCAGGTTCCACTCTACACCTACTAAATCAGAAATTTTGGAGGTAGGATCCAATAATCTGTTTTTTAACAAGCTGGTAGGTGATTATAATGGATGTTAAAGTTTAAGAACAAGTGGACTTTAAACATTACAACTATTTAATATTTATTATACATTTCAAAGTTGTTATAGGACAGCATGTAAAAACTAGAGAAAATCTGAATAAAGCATGAAATTTAGTTTAAAAATAATGTATCAAAATTGTTTACTGATTGTGACAAATACACCATATGAATATAAGATGTTGGGCCGGGCGCGGTGGCTCACGCCTGTAATCCTAGCTCTCTGGGAGGCCGAGGCGGGCGGATTGCTCAAGGTCAGGAGTTCAAAACCAGCCTGAGCAAGAGCGAGACCCCGTCTCTACTATAAATAGAAAGAAATTAATTGGCCAACTGATATATATATAAAAAAAAAATTAGCCGGGCATGGTGGCGCATGCCTGTAGTCTCAGCTACTCGGGAGGCTGAGGCAGAAGGATCGCTCGAGCCCAGGAGTTTGAGGTTGCTGTGAGCTAGGCTGACGCCATGGCACTCACTCTAGCCTGGGCAACAAAGCGAGACTCTGTCTCAAAAAAAAAAAAAAAAAAAGATGTTAATAGGAGAAACTGGAGGCAGAGTATGCAAAAATTCTTAATACTATATCTACAACTTTTCTGTAAATCTAAAACTATTCCAAATTAAAGCTTATTTTTTAAAAATAAATTATTTGGAATAATCAGTCATACCATCCTCTTTAATGCCATTTTTCTTCAGCTGTCTAAGAAGATTTCCACTTCCTCTTAGAACTGTCTTCAAAGCTCTCAAACCCCAATCATAATGTTGTTGAGGTGTCAAAAGTTCCCTGAAATAAAGGCATGGAAATCTTAAAGCATCAACTAGCTAAAAGAAATTCTTTTCATCATCACATCTAAAGAAATAAAGAATATCACTACTGACACATAGAAATAAATACTGATATCCCATAAACTTGCATAATAGAAACAATCACACAAAATGATCACCCAATGAGCTGTTAAATGTGGATGGTTCTCAAAGATAGGATAAAACTTTCATGAGCAAGGCTAATTATCTTAATGAAGATACCAAATGACAATTACCTGTTACCTTTATTCCTAAAGTCTATAATCAATCCACCTTGCTCTGACACTGTCTAGGTCCCCACTATCTCATATGAACAACAATTGTACATTGCCCCAAAGAAGCTAAAAGTCCACCTCCACACTAGAAGTAAGACATAGAGAAATTGTGAGAAAGAGTACCTCCACAGAAGAGTAGCTTTTGAGTGGTCAGCTGGTAAATTAGTTTAATAAAAATCATTTAGCTGGATCCCTCTAATATAAATATTTTAAAGAAAAAAACTGATCAAATTAATAATACATAAGAAAAATAAGTAGTTTTGAGCCAAATGTTTTTATTATTTTCTTTTGTTTTGTTTTTGTTTTTTTTGAGACAGGCCAGAGTGAGTGCCGTGGCGTCAGCCTAGCTCACAGCAACCTCAAACTCCTGGGCTCAAACAATCCTGCTGCCTCAGCCTCCCAAGTAGCTGGGACTACAGGCATGCGCCACCATACCTGGCTAATTTTTTTATATATATTAGTTGGCCAATTAATTTATTTCTATTTTTATAGTAGAAACAGGGTCTCGCTCTTGCTCAGGCTGGTTTCGAACTCCTGACCTTGAGCAATACACCCACCTCGGCCTCCCAGAGTGCTAGGATTACAGGTGTGAGCCACTGTGCCCAGCTGAAATGTTTTTATTGTTAAAACTAAAATATTTCATATCAACACTGTAAGCACAAAAAATCATTAATATGAAAACCATAGAAGAGATAAATAGGGACAATGTAAAAATGATAACTAATATACAATTAATCATTAGAAATGCCAAAATATAAAAATATTTTAAACAGGAAAACTCACCTAGATAAATTGAAAATAGCTACCAATTTTCTGCCCAATACTTTCGCATCTTTAAAGCCTTCTGAATACAGAATAACTTCTGCAATAAGCTCATTGTCTGGACGAGACATAGCTACTGGCCTGAAAAGCTGTTTAAGATTATCAGGCAGTTTTTGTCTTCCTCCATAACCTTTTCCAGCAGGATTCATAGTGATAAAAATTCCAGAATTAGAATTTATTTCTACCTGAAATATTAATTTAAAATATAGGCATGAAAGATTAGAACTATAAATATAAAATATATTACCAACAAAAATTTTATTGTGACATATTTCTACACATAAATCTTATACCTTAGCAAAAAGTAACCTCCCATGTACTATCTCCTTACTCAACATATAATCATCTCCTGAGGAACTATACTGTTTTAAAGAGATCCTTTATAAATCACTTTTTTGAGACTGAAAGTTTAAGAGATAGTAACTAATTTGATTAATCTATTCATTAATTCAACATATTTTACAAAAAAGCCTTATTTTCACTTTTATTAAGTAATAGAGACAACTCCAAACTAAACTTATTAATCATTTATACCCTTCTGGAGCTCACAATCTTACAAAGAGGCAAATTGTAGTGAGATAAATATTATGACAGGAAGAGTTTAATGTGATGAAAGCATTTAGTAGAAGCATTTCCAGAAAGGCTTAAGAATAGAAGCTAAATTAGAATGTGTAAACAATGAATGGGAAATTAATAAGCAAAAACTAGTGTAGAGTAGAAAAACCAAGAAATCTGGCTATAAAGTAAAGAAAGGAGCAAGAGCAGGAGTTGGAGGAAATATGTATCAAGGGAAAGTTTATTTTTGTTTTCATTATTAAGATGGAAAAGATGTGATTATGTTTAAAAGTTGATGAAGAATCAGTAGGCTGAAGCTATAGCACAGGAGATAAATAAGAGAAGGTCCCTGGGAAATAGATTCCAAACCATAGGTGGAAAGATTAGTATTAGTTGGGAGAAAGGACAACTCTATCTTTGTAAGAAGAGAAAAGGAATAAAAGTGAATGTCTAAGAAACTAAATTTTGATGGCAAAGAGGTAATTCTCACTTAATAATTTCTTCTCTTTTGTTTGTGAAAAATGAGTTTAAGCATCATGTAAATAACATATTAACAATGTAGAACTAGTCTTACTTTCTTGGGCTACCCTGAAAAATTTGTATTGTGAAATATTATGTATAACAAGATAATTTCACAGTTCTTATAACTTTTAGTATATTGAACATTACATATTATACACAAAAGTTTATATTTTCTATATAATAAAATTACATTCTAATGATACGACTGTATATCTCCTACGAGGAGAGGTAAAGAACAGAAGAATAGCTAAGTGCTTATGGTTTTAACACACAAAATAGTGATCAAAAACATGTGCTTCAGATTTAGACACACCTGGATTCAATTCACAGTTCCACTACTTACCCTTACTTATCAAGTTCTAGTTTCTTCATCCATATAGTAGAAAAAAATACCTCAAAGGATTGTGATAAGTATTAAATGCAACAACACATTAAAGCACTGTGCTCAGTGTTAGCACAGATAATGTAATAGCACATATAATACATAACATAAATAACTGAATTATTCAACATTGAAAGTTTAAAGATTAATGGTGAAAGTGGGACCAAAAAGGGTAAGAAATCTCAGATACACTTTATAGGTAATAAAGCTTAACACATTGGTCACAGATTAGAAACAAGGGTACCAGGAGAAATAAAGATAGAATATTGCCTGTGAGTAAAACCAAGTCTTATATTTTAATTTCTTTAAACTCCCAACATATTCTATACCTCCTTGCCAAGCAGTTCACATACAGTTCTATGATTCTTCAAAGCATCTTGAATTGTCTGGATTTGCATAGACACTGCTGACAGTACAGATTCTTCCAGCCTATTGAATTCATCAAAACAACCCCATGCCCCGCACTTCACCAAACCGACAAATATTCGTCCCATTGACTTCACATCAATGCCCTTAAAAACAATAAAAATTATATTCAGTAACAAATAATTAAAATCTCTACCAATAGCTTAATATTCAAAATCACTTACTGATAAGTAATCATTTTACCCATCTATGCCTCTTTTGCTCTTTTTAAAATAGGGATTAAGTAGCTACTCTTTCAAAACTCAAGGTGGTTTCAAGGAATAAACAAAATAATGCATGTGAAAGTGTTCTGAAAAATTCACAGAACTAAACAAATACAAGATTTTGTTTTAGTTATTCTTTAAGTCAAAATATAAATCTTACATAAAATATTTAGAAAATGATCATTTAAAATGAATTTAAGGCTTTTCTTTTTCTATTCATCATTCTCCTTAGGATAATAAAAACATTTTTCCATAATGTAACATAAACCTTCATTCTGTATTAAACTTATTTCGTTGCAATAATTCTCCTTAAAAAAAGTTTTGGGGCCGGGCGCTGTGGCTCACGCCTGTAATCCTAGCTCTTGGGAGGCCGAGGCGGGCGGATTGCTCAAGGTCAGGAGTTCAAAACCAGCCTGAGCAAGAGCGAGACCCCGTCTCTACTATAAACAGAAAGAAATTAATTGGCCAACTGATATATATATATATATAATTAGCCGGGCATGGTGGCGCATGCCTGTAGTCCCAGCTACCCGGGAGGCTGAGGCAGAAGGATCACTCGAGCCCAGGAGTTTGAGGTTGCTGTGAGCTAGGCTGACGCCACGGCACTCACTCTAGCCTGGACAACAAAGCGAGACTCTGTCTCAAAAAAAAAAAAAAAAAAAAAGTTTTGGGACCATAGTATGTGCAACTTCTCTCAATTTTACTTCTCAATTAAAACAAATTCTGTCTTCAAGTAATTTAAAAGTAGAGTGACTTTTAGAATATTTCATATACTAATGAAAACTAATCCAAATACAATATTTTAATATTTATTCATTCTACCTCATCACAATTAAAAACTAAAACTTGTCTTCCAAGAAGTCCACCTAAAGCCTTTACTGATTCAGTTTTTCCAGTTCCAGCAGGTCCATAAGGATTTCCTCCAAGTCCCATCTTCATGGCTTGAGTGAGAGTTAAGTAGCACTTATCTGTTAATGGAGTATAAACCAGCTTGGGAGCATTACCCTATACAAGAGAAACAAAGTCCAAGTATTCACTTACATTTATAAATATGTATACAGTGTCAGATTCCAGTTAAAAAGCTAAAAATGCAACAAATACATTAAAGATTTTATTTTTTTTTTCTTTTAACAGGAGCCCTTGTTTTGTATTTTTTTTTTTTTTCTTTTAACAGGAGCCCTTCACATTAAAGATTTTAACACAAAAAAATATCCAGAAGTTTTCTTGGTGAAAAAAGCTTTTTAAAGAACAAACTTGAATTTATCTTAATTATTTTTTAAGAAAGTGCTTCATTCTATCCTCAATTAATATATTGTTAGGTTTCAAAATATTCTCTCAAGTTCTTTTTTGGTTTTGATAGACAAGTAAGACTTTAATAAAATATATAGTTTATACCTTTATGTGAATAAATCCAGTCTATATGTGTCTAAACTAAATAATCTAAAACTTTGAACTGTTTTGTGACAAACATACTCCCAGTCTCAAGGTTACAAGAAAACAGTCGGGGCACTATTTTTTCTTAAATTTCAAAGTATTATGGAGGTACAAACGCTTTGATTAAATAAACTGCCTGAGTCAGAGCTATAAGCATGCCCATAGCCCAGTGTCCATGGAATCTGTTTCAAGTTCTTAACATCAGAAAGATGAACTTTTAAGAAAAACAAATCCAAAATTATCATACAATAATCATTCCATTTCATATTTTAAAATTCATGTAATTATTTCCTTGAATTTTATGATCTCCACAAATCAGAACTACTTTGGAGACCCCAAAGTGTAATTAATTTGAAAAATTCCTTATGAAATTAGTAATTTTATCAAATGATTCTCAAAATTTCTACTAAACTATAGAGAAGACAGATTCCAATTCCAACTGCAATTTACAGGATTTTTCCTCAATTTAGGTAAACATATTTGGGCCCCAAAATACATTTCCTTTTTGCAAGAGCCAACTGGCAGCTCTCCTGACATAGGCTTAACAAAACTGTCAAAATATTCTAATGACTAATTCATTATGATAGAAAAAGGCAAAGAGGAAATAGCTGAACTTTTTGAGAACAAGTTACATGAACTACATTATTTGTTGAAAATTTTTCTACCTTACAAGCTAAAAACATTCAGCAAATAGATTTCAGCAAATTTACAATTGCACTAATTTTGTTCTTGTATAAAGAGCCACAAACTAAACTGCTTCTATTGAGGACGCCTATATTCAATTCTCCTTGTAGTAAAGATATATTTCAAATTTTATATAAGAAAAGGTACTCTTGGCCGGGCGCTGTGGCTCACGCCTGTAATCCTAGCTCTTGGGAGGCCGAGGCGGGCGGATTGCTCAAGGTCAGGAGTTCAAAACCAGCCTGAGCAAGAGCGAGACCCCATCTCTACTATAAATAGAAAGAAATTAATTGGCCAACTGATATATATAAAAAATTAGCCGGGCATGGTGGCACATGCCTGTAGTCCCAGCTACTCGGGAGGCTGAGGCAGAAGGATCACTCGAGCCCAGGAGTTTGAGGTTGCTGTGAGCTAGGCTGACGCCACGGCACTCACTCTAGCCTGGACAACAAAGCGAGACTCTGTCTCAAAAAAAAAAAAAAAAAAAAAAAGAAAAGGTACTCTAAGAAAAGGTACATTTTAGAGAACTCAGTACCACACTGGTGATATTTTAACTTTTTTGTAAATAGACTGATGTTTTATTTTTTTCTTACATGATACCTTCTAAATTCTGATGAAACAGAAAGAAGACAGCAATACAAAAAAATTATTGAAAAATCACTACTTAAAAATAATTCTTTCTTCCAATGGCAAATTTCCTTTAAAAGTAGATAATTTCTAACTGGAAAAGTAAAACACTTCTGCCACATGCCATACCTGATATTCATAAGTATACTGAAGTTCAGAATCCACCATTTGAACATAACATGTGTGATCACTTTTCATATAGAATCTAAGTTGTTTTTTCCAAGCCCAGTCTTCAGTTGTATGAACTTGAACTTGGTTTAACTGCTTCACCACATCAATATTATGAATAATGTCAAGAATTAGTGCTTTAAGTTTAAGCTCCAGAATGCCTGATTCTAGAAAACAAAAATAATTGGAGAAAATGTTAGCCTGTGATTTATATACTTTATGCTCATGTATACAGGTGATTTCTGAATGAATTTAAATGGTCACTTCATGACACATATGAGTGGTATAATAATATGAATCACGCAAGCCAAAATGCTACAAGAAAAAAACAACGTAACACTTACAGCAGAATAATAATTCAAATGACTGTGGAATCTTCATCAGAAAACATATAGGTCAGAAGGAAGTGGAACGAGATTTTAAAATGCTAAAAGAATTGTCAACCCACTATAACCAGTGAAAAACTCTTCAAAAATAAAGGTGAAGGCCGGGCGCTGTGGCTCACGCCTGTAATCCTAGCTCTTGGGAGGCCGAGGCGGGCGGATTGCTCAAGGTCAGGAGTTCGAAACCAGCCTGAGCAAGAGCGAGACCCCGTCTCTACTATAAATAGAAAGAAATTAATTGGCCAACTGATATATATATAAAAAAAAAAAATTAGCCGGGCATGGTGGCGCATGCCTGTAGTCCCAGCTACCCGGGAGGCTGAGGCAGAAGGATCACTCGAGCCCAGGAGTTTGAGGTTGCTGTGAGCTAGGCTGACGCCACGGCACTCACTCTAGCCTGGGCAACAAAGCGAGGCTCTGTCTAAAAAAAAAAAAAATAAAAAAAAAATAAAGGTGAAATAAAGACATTCTCAGATGAAGAATATCTATGTGAGTTCACAGGCAGCAAACTTACCCTAAAAGAAACACTAAAGAAAACTCTTTAAACAGAAGGCAAATGATACCAGAAGGAAACTTGGAACATTAGGAATAAAGGAAAAGCAACAGAAATGATAAATATCTAGATATATATAATATTAATAGATTATTCTTCTCCTTGAGTCTTTTAAAATATGTTTTATGGCTAAAATCACACATTATAATATAATGTCATGGAGTTTTCGGCATATTTAGATGTAATATATTAAGACAACTACAACATAAAAAGGGGAAGCTAAATCTACATAGTGAAGAGGCTTCTACATTCTCTTTAAAGTAGTAAATTATTGATAAGTACAACATAAAAAGCAAGTATATTATAATTCCTAGCATAACCACTAAAATAGATGTAGGCCAAAAAGATAGGATACCAAAAAATGCTCAAATAACCCATTAAAAAGGGTAGAAAAGGAAACATTTTTTCCATACCAGTATTCCCTGGATCTTCAGAACTTGTATCAACATTAGTATAGTGCTCTAACTTGTTCACCAGTTGTGTTTCAATCTGATGAAGACTATGATCTTTAATAGCATTTTCTACATCTTCAGTGAATTTAATCTGCTCTGCCAAGCACAGTATCTATTGAATAAAGAGAAAAATTATTTTTAAAAGGTACTATTATACCTTTTAAAAGGTATAAAAGGTTTAAAAGGTATATAAGATATAACCTTATAAAAGGTAATATTTCTACTTAGAAATATTTTGTAAATTTAAGGAAAGACACCATTTTTCCAAAGTGCCAACTGTATATTGAACTTCTCCATCTGAATGTCACATGGGTACCTTCAAATATTAATAGAGTAATACAGTGGTAGAAAAAGCACTGTGTGAAGCAATCAAGCCTACTTTTCAGAACTCATCTCATATTACACTCTCTACTATAGGCCTATTTTTGGTACTAGAATCCACCAAGTTTATTGTAACCACAGGGCCTTTGTACTTTCTTCCCCTGACTCTTCTCATAAATGGTGTCTTTTCAGCCAGTTTGGAAAGATAGCAAAGTATGATGTATCCTATTTAATAAAATGGCAATCTTCTAGAATTTCAAAATAATTTCTTAGTATACTACTGAAGTCTACAATACCAAGATTTCAATATTTTCTTAAATTAAGATCTGTCTTAGTTTTATAATCTAATACCCATAAATAGAAACCAGCTATATTAAGGCAGATAGCTTTCTGTTAATAGTACCAATAGAGCAAGGCTACTGATAAAGCAAATTATACATTTAAAGACCAGCCTTTGAAAACTTGTATCAAAATAGTTTCATACAGTTTTTAAATGAACAAGGAAAACTGATATCCTCCTTTAAACTAAAAACATGATGCATCATCATAGAAAAGCACTACACCTGTTGACCAATTACTATTGAACAGATTGTTTTTATCTGATACACACCTTTCAGCATCCAGATGAATATCACTGAATGCCTCTATCAGATTAAATCATTTAGTTGACTATATATACAAGCTGCTGTCTTTCTCTAACTTAAAACATTCTATAAATATTATATTATGGTTCTTCTATGGAAGAGAAAGCCAATTAGTAACTCTTTTTTAGGTAAGTCATCTCCCATACTTTATGATACAAAATTCATCAGCCCATCAATCAAGTATATGGCAAAGCATTTAAGCAGAACCAAATCTGCTTTTGAGAAAAGACTTTGCTCTTTCATTTTCATATGAAAATGTTCACTTGCCCACCTCTAAACCTAATATCCCTGTATGTGGATTTCCTTTCAGGCAAAACTATTAAATTTCTATATTATAAAGGCACATGAATAATCTCAATTTTTATTTCAAAATATTAGGGGACATGTGTTCTTGCTACTTCGATGAACTGCATAATGCTGAAGTCAGAGCTTTTCGTGTGTCCATTTTTAACAGTCTGCTACAAAATTTCTGTGAGAGGCTTACAGAAATGATAGTCAAGATACAGTCTTGGGTTCTCAAGTGACATTACCATTAAGATAGCTGGACAGGCACTAATATTATTAATTACCTAAAATGCAATTGCCACTAAGGTGCTCTGCAAACATTATATGATATGACCTTCAAAATGACTTGGTAATGTAGGTACTACTATACCCTCTTAACTGTCAAAATGTATCACTCAGAGAATAACTGGCTAAGGCAGCATTTAAACTAAGGTCTTTCAGCTTCTTTCCACTTTATCACACTGCCACCTTCCCAGACCCAAAAAGTATCTTCTTTTTTTTTTTTTTTTTTTTTTTTTTTTTTTTTTTTTTGAGACAGAGTCTCACTTTGTTGCCCAGGCTAGAGTGAGTGCCGTGGCGTCAGCCTAGCTCACAGCAACCTCAAACTCCTGGGCTCAAGCATCCTTCTGTCTCAGCCTCCAAGTAGCTGGACTATCAGGCATGCGCCACCCTGCCCGGCTAATTTTTCTATATATATTAGTTGGCCAATTAGTTTCTTTCTATTTATAGTAGAGACGGGGTCTCACTCTTGCTCAGGCTGGTTTCGAACTCCTGACCTCGAGCAATCCGCCCGCCTCAGCCTCTCAGAGAGCTAGGATTACAGGCGTGAGCCACCGCGCCCGGCCAAAAAGTACCTTCTTTATCTTATTCTAGGTCTTTACAAATAAGGAACTGAATTATTAATACATGATAACCTATACCTGACATCCATGTAATTGTTATGCTACACAATCCCCTTATATAAATGCTCTGGAGATAAATTTTTCTTAACATTAACTGCTAATAAACAAGAATTCTTGATTTTAGTAGACAATAAACTATATTTTTAGTAGTGCACATTTTTATTTGAGTGTTCAAGGGCCTAAAGGTAAGTTTCAGGCTCAAATCCAGCAACTTTCTTTAGCCTCTATCTCCCACTATATCTCCTGCTATAACTGTCGTTTCCGTAACCCAACTATTATGCAATTTTTGCTTTTGTGAATTTTTTATATTGTGTCTTTTATTTTAAGTTGATTTATACCCTATCTGGAAGTTGACAAAGTACTAGGAAGCATTTTCAGAGGTAATAAAGCAGCTTACCCTGATTCTGCAATGGCATTCAGTGATGATTACTTTTGTTTTCCTCTAAGAACCTAAGATTCTTTTAAACAGATTTTAGTTTGCCTTAAAGTGCCAAGAGATACAAAAGGTGTGTTTGTAAAAATGGCTCAGAATCTAAAATGTGCCAAGCTTCTATACTTTAAGAGAACCAACATAAAAACCTGTCCCAATAGCTACTAAATTTTTTAATCTGAAAAGCAAGTAACTTTGAGAGATGTTGAGTAGATTTTTCTAAGAGAAATCATAGAACATTCCAATGCCTACCCCTTCCACAGTCCTAAGAACTAAAGTTTCTGATGACCTACACCTATGGCGTTATTCTGGACCAAACACTGAACGAGGCAGGACGTTTAATACAAATTTTAGTACTATACTTTGATATGGCCTGGAACAAATCTGTGAGCTACATATCTAGTATCCAGTGTTTCCAGGGATGAGCTCCTATTAACACTGAGCTGCAGCGAGCTCTATGATCTACCATGTGACCTAGCTCTCAAGTGTCCTGCCAATATTCCAGTTCAGTGTTGTGATTATATTTCAGACCTATACTAACATTTTTCTAAGCTCCTGCCAGCTCCAAGTTCTTAGATGATCCCATGGAAGGGGTGGAGGGTAAAGAACAGCAGTTTTAGAACAGTGTTTTAGATCTGTGCCTCTCCATCAACAAAGGACTAATCATCTGCGACCAGGATACTATTTGGTGCCTGATTCAGTCCTCTCCATTCCATTCACCACTGGCCTGTATTGCTTAAATCTCAGCAAGCCTTCTGCTTGAAAGCATCTGAATTATAGCAAATTAACAGAGCTAGAAGAGAACTTCACTATCATGTAGTACATCTCCCACATTTTATAGTTGAGGCAACTGAGACCTAGAAGTTAAGCAGTTTGTCCATGTAAACTATTAGATAAACGGAGAACAAAGATGACACTTTGTTCTGACCTCTATGTCAGGGATGTTTCCATGATACCATGCCAACCTATATTCCTCCAGACATAAGCCCCCTTACCTGTGAAGGGAATAGAGATGGGTCAATTGCACCTTGAGAACTTTGCCCAGTAGTAACACATTCCTTCAACAACTGTTGCAAAGTTTGCTTCATTTCCAAGGCCAAATCATTCAACCAAGCCTGAAAATAAAATCAGAAAATAATATACACATGATATAAAACAAATATATAATTTATCATCTGATCCTATTCTTTTATTTCAAGAGGGGTATTATAATTTCTTATGACTATCACACTCCCAAACTGAGTTACAGCCATTTAATTCTTTATTTTATTAATAAATGGTTTAAATAATTTGAAGAAAATTTTTTCACCTCTTGGGATAATGGTGGATGTGAAATCTTAAATTTGTGGCTATCACTATCATGACTATACCTATAAAAACCAACATAATACAAACATTTAAAAAGTAATCCATTAATTTCATGGAATCAAACTAGATAGTTGGGCCAATAAATAGGGTCAAAAAGGCTGGCAAAGTTCCCTGGCTCATGCTATTCTAGTGATCTCATATTAAGAAAGTTGGAATCATTGGAAGGGATTGGTTCATTGGGGTAAACTGTCTTATTTAGGGGTTTAGGATGCCTCATTAAACAAAACTAATTTGTTTCAAAGTCAAAACAATATATTTTTCTACTCACTCCATTATAGATAAAATAATAAAAGTAAACTGAAGTTAAAATAATAATGATGATTAATAGAAACAATGATGAATATTAATATTTATGAATTACTTCTTAACTTTAAAAGTGTATCACTTGCAACAAAATATAAGGGCAAAAACTACAATCTTAGTTTTTCATCATTACTTACTTAAATTAACTAATTTTTAGCTTTTTTTTCAGCAGTAGAGCACTTCTTAGTACTAAAAATAGCATGAGCCTTTGTCAGGCTCAAAAGCCACTGTAGCTAAAGAGTAAGAATCGATCTCTCACTGCAAAGGCTACAGAGACATCTACTCTGCTAATAATCACAAGAATTTCAACTTTTCCTTTGCTGGCATAACTGCCTTAGCCCATCTGCTAAAACTTAAACTCTTCCTCTGTCTGTAGTGTCAACAAAACTGCAAGAGAGGAAAACAACAACCATAAAACTCTTAACTAAACATGATAGCTACTTAGCATACCTTCTATGCTTTCAATTACCTGATATATGTACTCAACATCCAATAAAATGTTGAGGCCTAACCAGGAATAGACATTTTGCAAGGCTGCATGGTTGGTTATGTGCATAGGACATGGTCCCTGACTTCTAGTTGGAAGGTAATTTTGGAACTTGAAAATTACAATTCAATGTGGTACAACCTATTACTGGTTGGTTTTTAACTGTATGCTTGTAAATAGGCTTTTGATCAGTTCACCTCCAGTCCTGCAGAAGCAGTTAATAGTTATTCTATAAATGCACTAGTTTCAAACAGACTTTTCACTTAAATAAAAATATACAATTCATATCTTAAAGAGTAAAGTGAACTAAAGTTTATTGAGTATTTAGGTTCCAAGCACTATATACTATACATAAGGCCAATTATTTAACTTTCAATAGAAAGTCTTTGTAACAGATAAAAGTTAAGCATCCTCATGACAAAAATCTGAAATCCAAAATGCTCCAAAATCTAAAACTTTCTGAGCTCGACATGCTGCTCAAAGGAAATGCTTATTGAAACATTTCAAACTTTCAGATTAAGGATGCTGAACCACTAAAATGCAAATAATCCAAAATCCAACTAAATCTGAAATCTAAAACACCTCTGGTCCCAAACACTTCAGATAAGGCATATTCAATCTGTAGTGAGATTCCCATTTTAATTATATGAAAATTAAGACTCTAAGTCACATAGCTAATAAGTTTTGGAGCTAATATTAATGTCCAAGTCTTTTTGACTCCAAAGACAAGGTTTTTTCATAATTACATGCTACCTTCTAAAAACTAAAATCTCATATTATTTTTAATATCAAAACACCCTGAACCTAACAAAACAAATCACTGCTTAAGATGTGAGATGAGTTTCCTAAAAGACTTAATCAATTTTATCCTCCAAATTGACTAAACTATTTTTGATATAAAGTTCATACAGTCTTTTTTTCTATTTTCACACTTGAAAAACAATTACTTACCTCTACATTATTTGATAGAAGAACTTTATTTTTAAAAGGTACAACTTCTCCCTCTAAAGATTTCATTGCAGTTATATGTTTTGATTCCTCATCAAAGCACACACTGTTAATACCTATAATATAAAAGCAACAATTTAAATGCAAGAGCATTAAAGACATAACAGACATGACATATATATTACATAGTGTATACTATTTACCCCATAAGATACTGTAATAGAATTAAAAAGTATATCACATATGTAATGTTCCTATTGAGGAAAAAAAGAATCACTCTTGATAGACATTGTTATCACTAATCTAAAATATCTCCTATCAGTATTTAACTATATGTGACCTGATTCATTGGTAGTTTTACTGTTTATTTTGATGTTTGTATGTTTGCTTATTCATTCATTCGTACCATGTTCCAGAAAGAATGTTAGGCAACCTAGTCAACTAATACATACCAATCATTAAGAACGGTCCTAGGAAAAAAAAAAAAAAAAAAGAACGGTCCTAGGGCTGGGAACCATGCCTCATGCCTGTAATTCTAGCACTTTGGGAGGTTGAGGCAGGAGGATTGCTTGAGCTCAGGAGTTCAAGGCCAGCCTGAGCAAGAGCGAAATCCTTTCTCCACTAAAAATAGAAAAAATTAGCCGGGTGTGGTGGTGCATACTTGTAGTTCCAGCTATTCAGAAGTCTGAGGTAAGAGGATTGCTTGAGCCCAGGAGTTTGAGGTTGCAGTGAGCTAGGACGCCACTGCACTCTAACTGAGGCAACAGAGCAACTCTGTCTCAAAAAAAAAAAAAAAAAAAGAACTGTCCTAACTCTCATACATTCTTGATGGGAGTGTAAAATGTTATAACCTCTTTGGAAAATGATTTGGCAGTTTCTTAAAAAGTTAAACACTTCCTATATGAGTTAGCAATTCCACAATCAGGTATTTATCTAATAGAAATAAAAACATATGTCTATAAAAAGAATTGTATGAATGTTCACAACAGCTTCATTCATAATAGCCAAAAACTAGAAATAACCCAAAGTATCCATCAACAGGTAAATGGATAAACTGTCGTATATTCAAATAATGGAATACTATTCAGTAATAAAAAGGAATGAAATACAATTGCAGGTATCTCAAAAACATCACACTGAGCAAAAAAAGCGAGACAAAAATGAGTGCAAAGAACACATATTGATGATTCTACTTACAAGGATTTCTAAAAATGTCAGAAACTAGTGATAAGAATCAGATCAATGCTTGCCTGGGACAGAATGAGGTGAATGAGGAGAGGGGCAGAATGACTTCAAAGAGGCAGAGGAAACTCTCTGGGCTGATGGGAATGTTTTATGTCTTAATTACAGTGGTAGTTACAAAAGTGAATATAATTTGTCAAAATTCATCAAACTATATACTTAAATACAAAAAATGAATTATATATAAATTATGTATCAATAAAGTTTGTTTTTAAAGTAGTAAAAAAAAACCCTTCCTAAGGTAGTAATAGCAACCATTATAGACAATATTAGATACCAAACAAAAAAAAAGAGGTAAGGGGAAGGGCAAATAAGACCCCTCCTCCAAAATTTGCATATCACTTCATAGTACATAAAAAACTTGAACACATTACCTCATTTTGATCTTTAGAAAAAAAACCTTTAAGTTATTATTTGCAATATAAGAGGAAAACTACATTTCAGAGGGGTAAATTAATAACTAATTAATAAATAGTAGAGATGGAGCTTTGATGTAAACCTTCTGATTCCAAGAGCTTTCTACTACATCCCATTGCCCAAATCACAGTTACAGATACAACCACCCTAAAGCTTCAGATACACAGAGTTGGAAAATATTTCTGTAAAGGACCAGAGAGTATTTTAAGTTTATTGGGCTATATGGTCTGTGTCAACTACTCAACTCTGCACTCATAGCATGGAAGCAGCTATAGACAATACATAAACTACTGAGCATGGCTATGTTCCAACAAAACTTTATTCAAAAAACAACACGTAGTGAGCCAGATTTGAGCCATGACCTGATTAGTTTGCTGATCCCCGATTATAAGTGAAAATGATGAAAGTTTTTACTTCTTAATTTGAAAAATATAGCTCTTTTCAATAGAGATGCTTGCGTACGGAAGTGTTAATTTGCTTTCTCTTTCCAAACAAATGAAATATTTTGAGAAAATCATAGTCATTTTTGTGATTCTATTTGCCATTAATAAATACCCCATTAAAGTGGCTCAATAGCCTCAAAGCACACCCTACTAATTACTTTATACTTTTCCCCAAGTACTCTCACCTATTCCCATAGTTTGATTATTATCTCTATACAGATGACTACCATTTCCACATCCTCTCTGCTGACAATAATTGCCTATTGAGTATCTCCATTTGGATGTCTTTCAGGAGACCTAAACTTAATAATGAAAGTGCATATTCTCCTTCACTTCCAGGCCTTTGCACAGACTAATCTCTCTGCCTGCCCACCTTTTTTCTAACTAATGCCTATACATTCTTCAAATCTCACCTTAAATGTCACTTTCTCCATGATGCCCTACAAATGAGTTAAATGCCCTCATAACTACAGCACCACACACTTATGTCAATCACAGGAACTGTCACACTATGTAACATTTATCAGCTTACTAGCTTGTCTCCCCCATTAAATTATAAGTTCTTAGACTGTATGAACTGTGTATTATTCAATAGTCTACCCAGTAGCCTAACATTATACCTGCCACATAGTTGAAACTCAATAAATATGTTAAATAAATGCTGACACCTACCAGCAAATAGCTTCTTAAGGTGAGACTGAATCACTGATGGGTTAGTAGACTGGCCCAATATTTCTAATAAGTCATCATCACCAATAAAATAAAATCTTGGGAATGCTGAGCGTTTTTCCTAATAAAGATAAAAACAAAAAATTGCTTTCTTTTTTCAAATAATTAAGATATTAAGTACTTTACAATGTATTATATATAGATTTTTTTAAACATGCCTCCAAAAATTCATTTAATGATTTCTGACATCTTTGAAGTTGATCAAGTATCGTTAGTAGAGAATTTCTAATTCCTGCATGAGTAGTTAATGTTGTGACTCTATTGTCTTTCTTGATGTCATTCATTATTGACCTACAAAACAAAAACATTATTTTCACATGTATTTTAACAGTTTTTTGGCTAAGAAATATTAAGACTTTTTTTTGCCTGCTTAACACAAACTAGATGTAGCATTTATAAATAGAAACATATCATTATATTCCTAATAAATACTAAAAATATCTCATCATTTTTAACTTCCTATATTACAAATTCTCTTATATTTTTCATTGACTAAATATTAAGCCCTACCTCATAGAGCTAATGTTCCAGTGACAATGAAAGACACAAATAAATTTCTCAAAATATTTAAATAAAATTACAATAGATGCTAAGAAGGAAAAGTACAAAATATGGTTGAAGTGGCGAACAGGACGACCCATAACCTAGGACAGGGTCCTCAAACTTTTTAAACAGGGGGCCAGTTCACTGTCCCTCACACCATTGGAGGGCCCGACTATAGTTTAAAAAAAACCATGAACAAATTCCTATGCACACTGCACATATCTTATTTTGAAGTAAAAAAACAAACGGGCAAAAACACCTGCATGTGGCCCACGGGCCATAGTTTGAGAATGCCTGACCTAGGACTTCTTTGAAGAAGTAAATTAAGCTAAGTTATGAATAATAAATAAAAAGAAAAAGTCAGTGAGTAGGAAGAAAAGACCTTCTAGCAAAGATCCTGGGAAAGAGCTAGGTATATCTAAGAGCTAGGCATAACTAAAGGCTAGAATCACTAAAGCAAAAAGGAGACTAGCACAAAGCTAGTGATATGGACAAGGAGCAGATCTTGCCTTATTCTTAGAGCAATGGGGAACCACTTTAAAATTTTACTTACAGGAGTAAAAAAAAAAAAAAAGGTGCTAAAACTGCATTTTTATTTTTTTAATTTTTTTAAAATAGTTTAGAACATATCAGATATTAAACTGATAAGAACAGATACTACACCTGATCTTACCCAAAAGGACAAGAAGCAATGAAACTGCATTTTTAAACAATTACGCTGGCTGTTGTGTGAAAAACTTATATATAAAAGCAAGTCAGAAGATTAATGTAGTAGCCCAAGTGAGAGAGAGAGTACTTTAGAATAGAATGGGAGAAGTACAGATATAAAAGGTATTTGGTTTAAGATATATTAAGTAGGTTAAAATCAATAAAATTTGGTAATTTTTTTTTTTTTTTTTTTTTTTTTTTTTGAGACAGAGTCTCACTTTATTGCCCAGGCTAGAGTGAGTGCCGTAGCGTCAGCCTAGCTCACAGCAACCTCAAACTCCTGGGCTCAAGCGATCCTTCTGTCTCAGCCTCCCAAGTAGCTGGGACTACAGGCATGCGCCACCATGCCCGGCTAATTTTTTCTATATATATTAGTTGGCCAATTAGTTTCTTTCTATTTATAGTAGAGACGGGGTCTCACTCTTGCTCAGGCTGGTTTCGAACTCCTGACCTCGAGCAATCCGCCCGCCTCGGCCTCCCAGAGAGCTAGGATTACAGGCGTGAGCCACCGCGCCCGGCCAAATTTGGTAATTTGATGTATGTGGAAGTGGAAGAAAAGGAGCTATAAAAGAAACTCATCATGTTTCTGCTTTCAACAATTAGGTGATACCATTTATTGAGACAGGAATCATAAAGAGAAAAGATCTATGGGAAAGGAATTAGAGAGTAAGTTAATGAATTCAGTTTTAATGTGAGGATGTTTAGTAGATTTCAAACTCAGAAAAGAAATATGGGCTGTATACATAAATTGGGAAGACCTCTAAGGAGAGAAAATAGAGTGACAATGTCTACAACTAAAGGTTTGGGGAGAGCTGAAGATTAGGAAGTAGGAAGAGAATCAGAGATATAGGCAGAAACCAAGAGAGGACAATATTACAGAAGCCCAGGAAAGAGACTTTCCAAGAAAGAAGAAACGTTCAACTCTATAAAATACTAATAAGAGAAAAAGTAAAATAAGAAATGAAAAATGTCCACTGAATTTAAAACAGGAAAGTAATTGGTGATTTTAGGAAGTATATATATTAGGGAGAGTGGTATGATAATGGCAGAAACCAGACCAAAATGGTTCAAGTAGTAAATGCTTGAGTGAGGAATAGCTTCTCAGAAGGATCCACTGGAGAAAGAGCTTGAATACACAGAAGATACCAATAATGTAAAAGTAATTAGTTTGTATTAAGCACTTCACAATATGAAAGAATAAAAAACTGCTATATGCGTCTATGTCTTATTTAGCTATACTGACCTAAAATCTTCATCAACTCTGTTGAAGCGTGTCTGTTCTTTTGGTAATGCTCCGCGGCCAAAAATGGGTTCCAAATATACCCACTTTCTCTGAATATGATTTAAATTCTGTAGGTACTCATCTAACTCTGCAAGTTTTCTTTCCCAAATTGACACTTTATCTTCAAACCCTTTATAATATGGAGAATCCTTTAAGGACTGAAGAAGGCATCTATTATCTCCAACCTGATTTACTATATCTTTCCAGTCTTTAATCAGCTTAATAGTTCGATTTTGGCTGTCTTCATAATCAATCAATGTAAACACTGCTCCAACTCCCCAAAGATCAAGTTCACGTAAAGCTTCTCTGATTGTAACTTCACCTTGTGCCCGACTATTTAAATCCTATATAACACAAAATATCCATATTTATTATTTCAACATGAGTTATCATATAAATAAATTATAAAAATACACTTTATAACAAAATATGTTTTATCTGGCTTTTCACCATAAGGCAAAAAAAATTAAATGGATATATTTTACATGTAATCCAGAAGAATTACTGGCTATTTTATCAAAGCATATCAGATACTAAGCATCCTGGCTCATGTGGTCAAAGTATATACAAAGTTCTGCCTTATGCTTTTTGCTTCTACAAAAGAAAAACAGAAATTTAAGCAACTATCAGAAAAGACAAAACTAGTCTGGCTTATTTAATGTTTTATAGACTAAAAGGCCAAGATTTGGAAGAATGGAAGTTCAGAAATGTTACTGTAATCTTATTATAAATTCTAATACATCTAAAATAATTAATAATCGAACTAGAGTTATTTACTACAGTAGTCATGCTTTATAACTTCTCAAGATTATCTCTAAACATATTCCAGGATTATCGACAAATGTAAAGGTTTACTTTTTGGATAGAAAAAATAAAACAATTTGACATCAAGAATCCTTATATTTTTGAATGGCCAGAATGCAACATAAAAAGTCTGCCACTTATGACAGAATTATGAAAAGTTTTACTTTTACCTGAGACCTTTTCTAATCCTGATTAGCAAACTGGTTCTTGATTTAGCTCTCTGGACTTTTGTAACTTCTATTGGTAACATAACACATGATTTTAAATGTATGTTACATAAAATTATTTGCATTTGTTTACTTTGCATTTGTTTACTGATTAAAGCTGACTCCCTTCTTCAAGAAAAACTTTTTTTGTATTTCATATTTTTTCTTTCTCAAAGAAGGGATTTATACTATATTATTGTGTTTACACCCCCATACACAGTATCTGACAGATTCAGACACATTACTAATGAAAAAATAATGAAATAATGGAACACTGTCACTATCTTAAGAAAGGGAAAAAAGTCTAACTTGCTATTTAAACAACAAAATATGAAGCAAAATTGTATATTAACAAAGTTCAGATTTATGGTATATTTATAAAAGTGATTCGTACTTTAAGGTCTGCAGCTTTGGCTACAATTGTATCAGCTACTCTGAGCAAGTCACCAAACAACAATTTCTCTAGACTAGTGCCCCTAGGAAGGCCAAGTAGACGAAAAAGGTCCAGCCAGTGATCTGGAGAAAGATGTTCCCCTCTCACGTATTTCAAGATAGGAATTACAATCTGTTAAGAAAAAAAAAAAAAGGAAAAAGAAAAAGGAATATGTAAACATTTATACAAATATTAACAAAATACAAATTAGTGTTTATTTTTGGATTAATAGCTATCAAAATTTTAATTAATCCATTATCATGTATAACAGCCTTCAAATCTATATATGGTTAAACAAAACTATATAAATTTTTTTATTAAACATAATAAAAAAATAAAAATATTTTTTATTTTTATTAATTTTTATTATATAAATGATATAATTTTCTTATTTTTCTTATTTGTAGATACATGCAAATTTCCCTTTATAGTTTAATATATTAAAACATGATAGAATATTTCTATTTGTATTATTTTATGATATGACCCATGTGGCACTAGGCTATATAAATACTTTATTTTTTAACTTTAACTACAAATTTCTTACTTAAAACTTTCCAACTGGTAGCAGAAATATCAATTTCTATGGTTTACTCTGTTTGCTATCTTTTCATATAATTAAATAATTGAAAAACATAAACTAATATTTTAGTTCAGACACTACATAATAAAAAGATACATGAAAGCTCCAAACTCATTTTTAATTAGTAGAATAAGTAAAAGTAATCTTACTTTATATTTGTCAACTTCTGATTGTAATTTCACTGTCATTACTGAATGTTCTTCAATCTTCCTTAATCTATCATGCCAATTCATCAAAAATTCCTCAAATAGATATGTCTTAGTCCTATAAAATACCAAAAACACATCTTAAAGTTTACATCCAATAACAAAACTATCAAATTATGAGTCTAAATATTGTTTTTGAATCAAACCGAAAAGTTATCCAATCTTCACGGGCCATTTCCTGAAATCCTTGCTGAAATTCTTCATAAAGGGCCCAAATTTGTGCACAGCTCTCAATGTCTTTAGAGATGCTATATGCCAAAGAGAAATTAGGCTCTTCTAGTCCAAAATGATGGCAGTCATCACTATAGAAACAAATATTGAAATATTAAATTTTTAAAACAGAAAAACTGATAAGTAACAATAGTTATTTAACTGAATTCTGTCTGTGTGTACATATGATGCACATGTGTGTACGTTTGACAGTAGAGACAGACAGTAGGAAACCACCCATTTTACATGAGAATTTTAACTACATATATATAGGCTCTCCTAAATTTATGAATACACATTTTTCTAATATAGTCAAAATCAAGTTTGTAATATATAGAGATTTTTATGTACATAATATATATCATATACATAAATATTCATGATTATATAAATCAATTTATTAATGTGAGAAGAAAATAATCTCAGTTGAAAGGGCTAGCTTCTAGATTATAAAATTGGTATAATGCTATTTAAAAATTATGGAAATAAGACTTCAGTTCACATATGAAAGCAATTATTTTATGGACACATTTGCTTAAATAGACCAAACCTAAAGCAGTGTTCAAATTTAACTTCTTGTATTATTTTAAGATGAACCAACAACACATTTTTAAGTCTTTTGTTATTACTTATTTTGTAACATCCATTTTTTTCTCAGAGGTACTGAAAGTAAATATTCCAAAATTTTTATATACTCCATTTTTAAATAGGATGAGATCACAGAAAGTGAGTATTCCAACCCTCCAATATAACTTTTAAGTAAATTTAATTTTCTATTGTATTTCTAGTCATTTCTTGAAATATGCTTTCTCTTAATATCCTTATATAAAACTATGACTAAGACAGCAGTAACATGATTACTCATTATTTGTATTTTAAAAACTGAAGTTTATGAAGAAAGGCATTAAGACAGCAAATAAGAAAATTATTAGCTTAATATATATAAAACCATTTTTCAAAATGAACATTATCAGTTTTAAAGAAAAAAAACATACACCAGCTTTTTTCTTATGACTTCCAGATCATCAAACTCAATTTTTTTTTCTTTTATTGACTTTGCACTTTGATCAAGAGTATTATGTTGGCCAGCTTCAATAATATCATCACCAGGCTTTAATTGGTCCCAACGAGCTTTAAATTTTTCCAGTTCTTGATAATAGATCTGAAGACGTGATTTCACATTTCCTTTCATCACTTCAATCTACAAGTCAATAGAGTTTAAATAACTTAATGCAGCATAGTAAAATCTCACTTCATTTTCACATTCTTATTTTCAATATTTTCTATTTAAAAGTGAAAAAATATCAATACCAACTTTTCAAAGTATTGTTTTTATTTTAACTATTTATTCCCAGTGTAATAAAATAATTCACACAAAACTAGACCATAAATTCACAAGAAATAACCTTCAAATATCATCCTTAAAAAATGCATTCATGTGATTAACCACACCCACTACAACTATCAATAAAAGTGATATAATAAAAAAATGTTTGTTCCATGACTACTGGTTGTTCTACCTGAGTATATAGCTGCTAAATTAAGAAAGGCATTTCCTAGTCTACCATGCAAGTAAGGGCCATAAGACTCACACTCAGCAAAATATAAGAGTAATAGATGTGTAACTTCCAGGTTGTGCCTTTATAAGACAGATGGTACCCCTAACTCTTTCCCCCTTCCACCTCCCTACTAAGGTAGCAACTATTAATAAATGTGGTAGTAACCCATTTATGACAATATCCTAGAGATGGTAGACAAATAAGATTAAAGAAACCTGGATCTGAGACAAAGCTACAAAACAGAGGCACAACATCAGCTTACAAATCTAATGTAAGAGAGAAACTTAGCTACAATTTTTCAGGTCTCCATTAGAGTAGTCAAACTGATATCCTAATAAATTTAGTAATTTAAGAAAGTACATGAGTTTCAGAAATAAACTTTAGCCATACCCAGTAAGTAAACAACAAATTCATTCATAAGACTGAAAATAATGTTACATTTCAAAGGGACTAGTTTTTTCTTGGTATGATAGGAAGTAAAGAAAAACCATGTGAAACAATCATCATTTATATAAAGTATTGTACTATAAAAGTACTAATGGAGGTCAGTTTCAACAGCAGCACTAAATTCTTATAAATCTGCGCTATAAAAGAATAAAGCAAGAAATCTTAAATGAGAAAAATTATATTCACTTTAATAAAATAACTAAAAGGTTCTCACCTGATCTTTAATCATAAGTTGGTGACTTTCCATCATCAACTCAAATTTATCCCACTTAGCTTTCAGATTACTAATTGTTTCTAAACCTCCACCAGCCACCGTTCGTAACAGTTTGTTTTTATCTTCAGCTTCTTGAAATAAGGGCAAAATCTAAAGGTTCAAAAAAAATGTCAATAACAATTTATTTTATCCAATCTCCTAAGATTTCATTTATTTTAATTTTTGTTTCATGATTTTCTTTTTTAAAATCAAGACTGTTGCCTTTAAATAATTTGTGAAATTCCTGGATATACTGATTTGGCAAAAACAAAAAATTCCTAGATGTAAACTTTCTCATGGTTATTTATTATTTTAAACAAGCTCAACAAACTCACTCTAACATCAGAGATTAAAAGAGATAATTAAAATATAATAAAATTACCAATAAGAGACTGAGTGAAATCCATAAAGACAATAGGATAGGTATTCAAAGGAAAGTTCTCATTATAATTATCTCATTCATAAGAAAATGCTAAAGAAGCTTCTGAAAGAGCAAAAATTGGTGATTATCTAAGAGCATAAGTTAACTAAATTATTCTACTTAATAGAGAAGAGAAAGTCATGAAAAATATACTTAGGAAACATATAACTGAAGAAGTGAAATTAAGCTCCTACATTCAGGATTTCTAGCTGAAATGCCCTAAATTGTGTACAGAGAACAGTTTGTTAAACAGTCTGTGTGTAGGTCAACAGGTGCTAAACTGCTTTAATTGCCTCTAAGCCTTTTAAAGCACTGTAAAACAAAAGTATCCTATAATTAATACCTGTACTTTTACTATGTAGCAATACAATAAAATCCATTTAAAGATTTTTAAATATGCTGTACATGCATAATAAAACAGAAGCAAACAAAATTCAAATATATCTCAATGACCAGTTTGCTATCCCTGGGCAGGATCAGTTTCATCTGAGAAACAGACAAAAGCCAATGGACCAATAAGTAAGTCATACTGTACTAGAAGAATCAATAAGAAAAAAATAGAGTAGGATTTTAATTTCCTACATATGAACAAAACTTAGGTTAGCCTGTAAAGATATTACAACAGTTTCCTGGTCTACCTGCCTCTAGGTAGACATTCCATGAGAACAGAGCATGTTCACAGCGCATCCCCAACTCCTAGCACAATGCACAGAATATACCAAATGATTCATAAATATCTGTCAAATTTATTAATAAATGTCTCTGCACTAACAGCTACAGCTCATAACCATTCCTTTTCTAGTTAATTCCTTTTACTAGACAGATACTTTATTTTATTTACCTTTAAACTCTCTTTTATACCTTTAAGCCTATCACATAAAACTTCGTAATTCCTTTCATCAGAAAGGTATATTATTTTATTCACCTTTAAACTCTCCTTATAACTTTAAGTCTATCACATAGTAAGGACACACAAAAGTTGATGTACTAATTTGAATTATTTTTCCTTCTTGCTCTAAACATAACTAAAATTATCCATAATATGTTCTATAAAACTTTGGCTTGTTTATTCTGGGCTCTAGCTGTGGATATGGTTTTTATGTATCCTTACCACTCTCTCATCTTTGTCTTTAATTATGAGCTCTTCCACTGTGTGTGTGTGTATGTGTGTGTGTGTATTCCTAATTCAGCTGTAATTTCATACTTCAGCATCCTAAAATTAACAGCCTGAGTCATTTTAAGTTTACATTTATTCTAATAGGTCACATCTATTTTATGAAGATGAAAATTATTCTGTTTAAAAAAATTATTCTGCATTATTAAAAAAATTATTCTGCATTACTGTTACCGTTTCATTACACCAATATAGCATTGAAAGTCCAATCTTGAACTGACCAGTTGGACCAGATTATTGTGGACCTCCTTATAATGTTGAGATTATTTCTAAATAATCACACAAAATTACCTAATTTAAACATTTCTAGCACAATAAAAAAAATAATAATAATTGTACTTTGTGATTCTCACCTCTGGCTTCCGTTCTTGTAGCTTACTATATTGTAGATTTGCATCACCTATTTCTTCCACAGACTGGGGCATAATTGTTAAGACTTCCATAGCCTCAGTAACAAATGTATCGATTTCATGTAAGTGAGCTGAATAAGGTAACATTGAAATATAAGAAACGTTATTACTATCACCAAAAATATTCCATTACATAATTTCTAAATCAAGGATTGTTTGAAGTAATCACTATAGGAAATACATTTAAATTGGAAATTATTATTTGCTTACATAAAACAAAATTTCAAGATGTGGGATAAGCAAAGAAATTTCTTTCTTTCTCTTGAAAGTTTAGCTGTTCCACATTGTATTTCAAATTTTTAAGGAAAAATTAGGCCAGGCATGGTGATTCACACTGGTAATACTAGCACTCTGGGAGGCTGAGGCAGAGGATTGCTTGAGGCCAGGAGTTCAAAACCAGCCTGAGCAAGAGCGAGACACCATCTCTACAAAAGTTGCAAAATTTAGCCAGGCATGGTGGCATACGCCTATAGTTCCAGCTACTTGGGAGGCTGAGGCTGAAGGATCACTGGAGTCCAGGAGTTTGAGGTTGCAGTGAGCCATGATCATGCCACTGCACTCAAGCCCAGAAGAGAGAGAGAGAGAGAGAGAGAGAGAGAGAGAGAGAGAGAGAAAGAAATTGAACTGTACTAAGTAAATTTTACTAAAAATTAGGAAGTTTTTCAGTCTTTTAAATGAGCCTAACCATCTATTTAAAAAAAAGAAACAGTATGTCGTGTTAGAAAATTTTTGCTGAGTTTGAAGAGTTAAGGAGAATTATACTACAATTACCTACCTTTCTCAGTAACACATGCAACCAACTGATAATAGCTCTGACAACAAATAATAGGGATGTCTTCAATTTTTAGACTTAAGGTTTGAACATGAACTTTCCTATTTCTTTAAGATTATCATTTTGAGAAAATTTTATTTCATAATACTTTCTAGGTCCATTTTGATTTTTAATCATCACTGAGATTCATATTTTATAACTATCAAAGTATATGCCTCTACAAATAAAATTAATTAAAAATAAAAATTACAAAAGGTCTTTACCCTGGATGGACTTCTTCAAAGAAAGAACAAGCATATCAAATAACTTCTGGATGAGATCATCAATCACAGTCTTCACAGGGCTGCAATTAATATTTAAACAATCTACCTTGACAGCACTGAAAAATGCCAAAGAACATATTTTGACATGAAAAAGACAAATTAGGAGAAAAGAGTCTCATTATAATAATAATTTTGTGTAATGTATTTTAAAATATAAGTCAAAAGTATTATTGTAATCTTTAAGCACATTTAAATTTAATTTAGTAAAAATGCCTTATATTTTGAAGTTTTTCACTGAACAATGATTTTGTTATAATACTACTGATTATCCAATGTATTAGCTTTAGAAAAAGGGAGCACATTATGAAATACTACACTATCAACAGAATATATTTAAATATTCATAAGCTCCTCTTGTCCCAGCATGTAATATACTTATTAAATAATTAATTATACTTATTAAATATTAAATATTTATAAAATAAATTCACTATCTTACAGCCAAAATATAAACAATAGTGATAAGGGAAAGAAAACAAATATAGTTAGAAAGTGAATATAGATTATTGAGGCACTAAAACAATAATACAATGAGATACTGTTTTATACCTATCAAATTGACAAAAATATTACATAATGAATGGTTAATTTGTATCTTCAATTGTGTAGGCAAACAGAATTCTCAGAACTTTTGGTCAGAGTATAAAATGATGTAATCTATATAAAGAGCAAATTATATATCAAAAAATTTTAAAATAGGTATATCTTTTGTCTTCATAACTTTATCTTTAGAATTTATCCTAAGAAAATTTTCAAGGCATATTCCAAGATATATATACAAGTATTTTCCTCAAAACATAACTATAATAAGGAAAACTTAGAAATAAGCTAACTATAAGAAGGGCTAAATAAACTTTTATATACCCATATAATTAAAAATCACATTTTTAAGGAACAGAAAAATATTAATGAAATACTATTAAATAAAAATAGTGGGATACAGTATGATCTCAATTTTGTAAGGATATGCTCTAATATGTACCAAACATCAAATATTAATAGCAGTTGTCTTTGTACTTTTCTATATTTTAAAAATTTTATAAAACAAATATACTATTTTAATCAGAAAAAAAGGAATATAGTTTTTAAAAGACTAATTCTTTGCCTAGTACCCTAATACAAATTGTAATGTTCTAAGCAAAGAGAACATTTCCTCACTCATCTGAGGAAAATCTCATACTTATCTTAAATTACACAAAATTTAAAAAAGGATCTGAAAATTTTGGTCAATAAGATTATTTAGGGCCAGGCGCGGTGGCTCACGCCTGTAATCCTAGCTCTTGGGAGGCCGAGGCGGGCAGATTGCTCAAGGTCAGGAGTTCAAAACCAGCCTGAGCAAGAGCAAGACCCCGTCTCTACTATAAAAATAGAAAGAAACTAATTGGCCAACTAATATATATAGAAAAAATTAGCCGGGCATGGTGGCGCATGCCTGTAGTCCCAGCTACTCGGGAGGCTGAGGCAGAAGGATCGCTGGAGCCCAGGAGTTTGAGGTTGCTGTGAGCTAGGATGACGCCACGGCACTCACTCTAGCCTGGGCAACAAAGCGAGACCCTGTCTAAAAAAAAAAAAAAAAAAAAGATTATTTAGAAAAAAATACTTGTCTTTTCTAAAGCATAGAGCCTGGTAAGATCCTTAGAAAGCAACTTATAAGTGTTAAGTACTTACAGTTTTATAATAAAAACATAATTTTCTTTTAAGGCTTTTTTATTTATTCTCAATCATTCACTAGCTGGAGAGTTTTAAACTAAAATTCTTAACCACCAAAAGCTGTAAGAGCCAATCTGCTTAATATATGAAGGTATATGATTTAAAGTCCTGACATATAAAGAGTCACGATTTCGTATGTGGACATATAGGAATAACATCTATCGGGTGTCGGGCAGGTGGGGGGTAGGGGTGGAGTATATACATACATAATGAGTGTGATGCACACCAACTGGGGGATGGACACACTTGAAGTTCTGACTGGGGGTAGGGGCAAGGGCAATATACATAACCTTAACATTTGTACCCCCATAATATGCTGAAAAAAATTAATTAAAAATATTTTAAAAAAGAGTCACAATTTCTGATATTTGATACTTGAAAATACAGGATTTGGGAAAACCTAAAAAACTACATTCTACTGTATTTTGCTAATGAATTAACATAAAATGACATAATTATAGCAAAGAAGTTTTATTCCCTGACAATAGAATGCTGTGGACATAACTAACATTAATATTTCAATTGAAATATTCATAATATGTTACTGAGATTCTGTTCAGCCATTGATAGAATGGGAGGATGTCTCATTATATATCAAAGATGCCTATCCAAAAATTATTTTCTTACTACTCTACCTGAAATACATCATTAAAATATGGTTTTTCTAATCTTATAGCATATTTCCAAAAAGTACCAATAAAATAAATCTGTGTGTTTGTGTGTGCATGTATGTGTTTATTAGCTTAAATAAATGTTAATTTAGCAAAAAATAGCAAAATGGAAATAGAATGAAGATAAACAGGCATTCTTTTTGTTTTGTTCTGTTTAGAACTTTGGCAAGGAAGCATAAATGGGAAAGTTGTCTACAGTAAGGGACAAATAGTAGAGGTAGCAGTCAGAAGTCCTTGAGCAGTCAGGTGACAGCATCACGTCAAAGATGGGCAAGATTGGGATCAAAGATAGGACCCAATAGAGAAGAGAAACCTCATATGCAAGCAGAACAAAAGTGCTATTTTTTCCTTACTTCAAACTAATGTTAGTGACACTACCATTACCCGAATCACCCAAGCTCAAAACCATAAATCATTTATTTCTTTCTATTCCTCATCCTTCATATTCCTCCCATAAATAAGACTTCTTAATTAATTCCTCAGAGTATTTCCTCCTCCCCATTATGAGTACCAACAACTTAATTCAATTAATTATCACTGGTCTTCTGGATGACTGACAGACAGCCTGTCAGCCTCTGGGATGTCTTTATTCTACCATATAATTCATTATTTTAAGATGAATCTTCCTAATGCACAGCTTTGGTACTGACACACTCCTGTTTAGAAACCTTCAAAGCTAACCACTCTAAAATGAATAAAATCCAAATTCTCTATTTCAGAATATGAGACTCTTCCCCAATCTGTACCTGATCTGATTTCAATACCACTAAGAATACTCTTACTATCTATATCAAAAATTATTATGACACATAAGCACCACATTAATCTCTAATACCTTGGAAGTCGTTCTACTTCTTTCCCTTTTATTTTCAGTGCTTTAAAATTTTTCTCCCAATCATGTACAGTAAAAAGATGCTTTTCTATTAGAGCTTCCATATCAACTTGCCCAATTACAATCCATTCCTATTTAAAGAATGAAAAATATATTATTAAATAGAATAAATTAATATTTAAAAGATTAGGATCCAACTATTAAGACCAATAAAAAGGGGCAAATGTGAGGTATTCAAGTAAATGTCAATTTAGGTATGTAAATGTAACTATTACTGCATAGCCTAAAAAAATGAACAGGGCTGGGCACAGTGGCTAATGCCTATAATCTTAGCACTTTGGGAGGCCAAAGCATGAGAACTGCTTGAGGCCAGGAGTTCCAGACCAGCCTGAGCAAGAATGAGACCCTATCTCTACAAAAAGTGGAAGAATTAGCCAGACATAGTGGTATGTGCCTGTAGTCCCAGCTACTTGGGAGGCTGAGTCAGGAGGATCATTCTAACCCAGGAGTTTGAGGTTGCAGTGAGCTATGATGATGCTACTGCTCTCTAGCCCAGGTGACAGAGACTTTGTCTCAAAAAAGAAAAAAAACAGATTTAATATGAAAATGCACTAACTTTTTAAATGAAATTATAAAAACCCTTTAGATTCTCTTCTCAAATTAGATGTATACAAAGTACAAAGACAGAATCACTTCTACAAGGCCAGAAGTCACCATAGGCTACAAATCGGTATGTATCCAGATTTTCTCTAGAAATATAAAATGTATAATACTATCCAATTATCAGTCCTATGTCTCAGGATCAATATAAATAAGCAATGCAATTAAGGTTTATATTTGGAGTTAGTTTACATGATGCACTTAAACAGAAATAAACAGTTAAATCACCCTTATTTCATTAACATTAGAAGGTTTCAGAATTAAAATGGAGACAACAGATTCATATGACATACCAAGTTGACACAATTTAAAAAAACTAATTTCTCAATCTTCACAAAGTAGTCAAAGACAAAAAATAAGTTTAGTTTAACTTTTTGTTTTCATATGTAGCATAAATCTAGGCTGTATAAGAATCTACAAATCTGGCTCTTGGTCTCTGATTTGCCATATTTAATTTTATGCCACATAGATAAACTATTAATTTGTATCAATACATTTAGTGTCAATATAATCAGACGAAATTTTAAGTTAGAAAGATGAAAAATAACATGTTCTATACCTTATGTTGGTCTAAAACAGCTGACAATCTTCTAAACAGATCTTCTGCTTTGCTGAAAATAGTCAAAAATCCATTTGCATTTCTATCAATCATAATAGAAAAAATAGATTCTTCTCCTGCCTCACCCACTCCCTTAAACTGATTTGGAATGCTGATGAATCTCTTCATTTCTCTATAATATTTAGCCCGGATTTCTTCAAAAGGAGGCCTGAATTGTAACCGTCCTTGTCTGGAAGTAAATAAATAACTTTAAAATATAAGTTATTAGAAAATTACAAATTGAACATTAAATTAGGGTTTAAAAACATCTTACTTGTAAGTTAAGTCTATATTTATTTCTGGCAGGTTCTCATTAAGTGCTTCTAAGCCCATCTGATACTGATGCTCCAGAGCTTTGTACAGCTGATGATTCCAGTGCTGTTTCCACGCATGCATGTCACTTGCTTGGAATCCCTGACATGTTACATTCATATTTTTATTTAAAAATTAAGCAGTAATTTTTCATTTAACACTTTCATGCCACATAAAGCAAAATTATAAGCAAAAAATTCATGTTAAATATCTTAAAACATACACCTTCTTAATTGCCATTTTTAGTATAACAGTTTATATAGAGTCAAATATGAAAACCTCTAACCATCATGCTTATAAATGATATATAAATATATCAGTAAAATTTTAAAACCAAGGAAAATTAAATGACTTTTATAGTTGGACTTTATTTTATGATGCAGTACCACAATGATTTATTTTGTGAACTTCTTAATCCTTTATCAAAAAATCCAATAAAGTAGAGCTCCTCTTCCCACTCCCTAATCAATGATATATTTAAAAATATAAGAAATTTAAAATGTTAGAATGCTTAGACTAGTTTACATACTTTTTGCTTCCATACAACCATAAATATATCAAATCTAGTGCTTTTGTTTTTCTTAAGTTTCTAAAAATGGAAAAATATATGTAAATGTGTAAGATATCTAACTCATTCAAGTAGGATCACATTACCACATACTATGTAGCAGGCTCTCTGCTAGTCACCTTTATATATACATCATCTCTTATATCAAATTATGAACAGAACTGAAATTTTACTCCAAAACAGGAAAAAAATTTGTGAAATAGTTATTTCAATCATTAAGCTTCTGCCTAAATTTAACTTGGTGTTCTATGGATGTCACAATCACCTAAACGAGAGCTAACATATGGTAGATATTTAAACACCAAATCAGAAAAACTACAAACTCTGAATTGAGGGATTTGGCATTCTATAAGACAAATAGAAACTTATTTTTATATATATATATATATATATATTTTTTTTTTTTTGGAGACAGAGTCTCGCTTTGTTGTCCAGGCTACAGTGAGTGCCGTGGCGTCAGCCTAGCTCACAGCAACCTCAAACTCCTGGGCTCGAGCGATCCTTCTGCCTCAGCCTCCCGAGTAGCTGGGACTACAGGCATGCGCCACCATGCCCAGCTAATTTTTTTATATATATATCAGTTGGCCAATTAATTTCTTTCTATTTCTAGTAGAGACAGGGTCTCGCTCTTGCTCAGGCTGGTTTTGAACTCCTGACCTTGAGCAATCCGCCCGCCTCGGCCTCCCAAGAGCTAGGATTACAGGAGTGAGCCACCGCGCCCGGCCTATATTTTTAAATGTAAATCAATTGTTAATATATGGTCTTTATATGTAATTTAGTCAAAGAATTCTAAATTTATTAGGAACTTATTAGTAAAGATTTAAAGATAATTTTTATGAACCTCTCATCAATTCATATACTGTATCCAGATTCTGATAAGGTCATATTTCAAAGTATTAACACAAAATAAAACATTCTCTACCTGTGCTTCTACACTTGCTAAGCCAGTTCTCAATTCTTGTAGTCCATCTTTCCAACGTTGTTGCTGCCGAAGCAGATCGATATTCATAAGAATAACCACCTATGAAAAATTAGAGCATAATGGTCTCAAAGTACCAATGAGAAAAATATTAACTTTTCAGTGGAGAAACCTGACAGACACTACCTTAACTAAGTGATCAAATTTAACTCAACCTATAGTAAAACTTATCAATACCTGACTGACATACTAAGAAGAGCAAAGCATCACTTCTGTGATATTTCTACCAAAATTACATAGCCCCAATATAATCATAAGAAAACATTATAAAAACCCAAGTTGAGAGAGAGATTCTACAAAATAACTAACAAATATTCATCAAGGTCAAGAAAAACAAGGAAAGACTGAGGAGGAAGAGACTACAGAGACTCAACAACTAAATGCAAAGTGAGATTCTGGATTATATCCTGGAAAAGAAAAAGGATGTTAGTAAAAAAAAAAAGTTGTAAAATTCAAAAATGGTCTATTTCCTGGTTTTGATAACTATACTATGATTATATAAGTTATTAACATTAGGGTAAGCTAAGTGAAGAGTAAATGTGAATTCTCTGTACTATTTGTCCAACTTTAAGTCTGAAATTATTTCAAAATAAGATAGTTTTAAAAATTATATCTTAATTACCTTTTAATTAATATAATTCATAGATTATTCAATTTTATAAACAAAAATACCTTTTCACAAAATGTCATGTGCCATTTTCTCAGTCTTCTATTTTCAGTGGCAAGTCGTTCAGCAGCATTTTGGAGTTTTTGGATGTAACCTTCTAATTCTTTAGGATTATCCCAAGTAATTTGTGATTTTCCTCCACTTCCCGCTTTTGAATTCTATAGTACAATAAATCATATTTAGTATTTAGACGCACTTTTTTCAAAAGATTCAGCATTCTACATCTTAAGTCCAACTATCGCCAACACTGACCTATATTAAAGAAAGCACATAATAATTTTCCAATTGAGAAATGATAGGGTAGTCTGGCCAAAATCGAGTAACCCATTATTTCTAGGTTCTCCCTCTTACAACTAAAATACCCTAGACATAACACAACACGCATAAGAAGACTCAAAAGTAGAAAGAAGAATCCAGACAGCCTAGAAACTTCAGGAATTATGAAACAACATACTTCAGTTTCCTTATTGTCTTCTATATATCTAGGACAGGGTGCTGGAGAAGACTCCAATCTGTAACCACCAATAGGCACTATTGGAAGCTTGTACCTGGTTTCCTGGAACTTCATCCTATATACCTTTCCCTTTGCTGCTTTTGCTTTGTATCCACTCATTCACTATAATAAATATTGCTGTGAGTCCTCCTAGCAAATCACAGAACCTGGGATGGTATTGAGGACCCTGACACAACTAGTTATCCACTTTCAAATGAAAGATGAAAAGGTTATATTCCTCTTCTACTTTTTCAAATATTTCTTGTCTATGAAGAACTAAAATTTTAGATTTCAAAAAGTTAGTAGTCACATAGTAACATTCAGTTTAAACACTATTGTGAGTCTTCCTAATTTCATATGTGTGGACATTTAAATAAGCACAAGTAAAGAGCAAATAAGTCTTAAATTACAAAATCAGGAGAGGGTGGGAAAGCACTAAGGAATCTTGTCTATAAGGACCTTAAACTTCAGTGGATAAATAAATAGCACACAACTCTTATACTATCTCTATTAATGCAATTGATCAAAATCAGTACAAAAATATATGAAACATTATAACCACTTAAATCTATAGTTGGAAAAAACTATGAAATAAACACTTCACATGTAAAATATAATTATAATAAAATAAAAAGTTCATTTACCTTAATTATCTGTTCAAATGCTAAGGCAGATTGTAACATCATTGGCCTCTGACTTTGAATCATTTGTTGATCAATAGAATTATAAAAATGTGCCACCTACAAAGTAAAAAGTCCAATTACCAATAATCAATAATTGATAACATTTCATTTTTAAAGTTTTCATTTTTCTTCATTTTTAATTATTTGAATGGAAAGATTAACTTTTCTCAATCCTAAGATTAAAACAGAAAATGGTTTTTTCATCTCCAATATTGCATTTATTCATGTATTAATATACACTATCAACATATAGGGGCTGGGCGCAGTGGCTCACGCCTGGAATCCTAGCACTCTGGGAGGCCGAGGCAGGCGGATCGCTCAAGGTCAGGAGTTCAAGACCAGCCCGAGCAAGAGTAAGATCCCACCTCTACTAAAAATAGAAATAAATTAATTGGCCAACTAAAATATATATATATATATATAAAATTAGCTGGGCATAGTGGCACATGCCTGTAGTCCCAGCTACTTGGGAGGCTGAGGCAGAAGGATTGCTTGAGCCCAGGAATTGGAGGCTGCCGTGAGCTAGAGCTAGGCTGACGTCACGACACTCTAGCCCAGGGTAACAGAGTAAGACTCTGTCTCAAAAAAAAAAAAAAAAAAATATATATATATATATATATGAGTTGAGTTCCTACAATTTGCCAATTCATGTCATAAGGGCTGATTAAACAATGATTATAAAACCTGGTCCCTGGAATCAAGAAATCATAGTCTCATAGCAGATATTTAGCACCTCACAATACCCTTGGCACACATCAGGTGCTTAAAAAATATTTGTTAACTAATTTTATGAAGAGTCCTCTTCTTTCCACTAACATGCATGAAAATATACCTTATTTTGTGGGGAATACCCACTCTAATTATTCCGTGCCACAAAAGTAGGCCCAGAAAAAGCACGATCAGGAAAATGAAAAGCAACAGAATACATACTATTATTAATACAACAATCTAGCTATATTGCTATCTATCCAACAGTCTAATTTATACTCCATACTGTAGCTAAATATCTGCTCATAAATAAAGGTATAATTAAACAGATTTTCCCACTTGTTCTTCCAGGTGTAAATACAAATACTAATATGCCCATTCATTTTTTGAGCTATTATATCAGACTAAATACTTAGGATACAAAAGTAAGCAAGCCTCTCTGTTTTTCATTAAGTAGTCACTCTAACTGAAATGATCACCTAACCCCTCATACCTTTGAGAAAATCTATGTATACTCTTCAAGATTCACATCAAACATCATTCCTCCCAAGACTTACCTGATACTACTTCTACCCCTCAGAAAAAGAAAATTCCCACCTCTATGCTTTCACAAGACTTTCTGAACATCTATACGATATTAAATATTGTATCTACCTGTCGACATATCTATCATCACTACATGAAATGAAATAAACATGAGCTCTAGTCAAGAGAGACTTGGTATCAAATCCTAGCTTCATAACATAGGACCTGTATGGCACTGGGAAAACTATGTTACACATCTGATGCCAAATTAGATCAGTGGTCCAATAGAGGATTAATTGAAATAACATAAATAAAGCATCTACCTCAAGTCCTGACATTTAATGAGCATTCTGTTTAGTTTGCTCTCACCCACCAGAACAGTGATTCTCAACCATAGCTGACTTATAAGTCAGGGAACATTTAGCAATATCTAGAGATATTTTTGATTGTCAGGACTAGATGCTCCGGGAACATACTAGGTACAGACCAGGGACACTGCTAAACATCTTATAATGCACAGGAGATTCCTCCCTAAAAAGAATTGGTCCAAACTATCAAAAGTACAGAGGCTGAGAAATCCTGTGCCAGACAATGATAGTAATATATTCATTTTTATATCCTCACTACACTATGCTCAATGAATCTTTGCTGCATGAAAGAATGGAAGACAAAATACACAAGATAGTGTTCCTGCCTTGTAAGATACTATTCTTGCCCTTTAAGATCTAATAATCAAGCAAAAGAAAAAATGAAAATGAAAAAATTCAGATATAACATAAGTGTTATAATAGTGATTTTCATACTGCACACAGAGTTTTTAAAAAATTCAACAAATGAGGCCGGGCGCGGTGGCTCACGCCTGTAATCCTAGCACTCTGGGAGGCCGAGGTGGGCGGATTGCTCAAGGTCAGGAGTTCAAAACCAGCCTGAGCGAGACCCCGTCTCTACCAAAAATAGAAATAAATTAATTGACCAACTAAAAATATATATACAAAAAATTAGCCAGGCATGGTGGCGCATGCCTGTAGTCCCAGCTACTCAGGAGGCTGAGGCAGGAGGATCGCTTGAGCCCCGGAGATTGAGGTTGCTGTGAGCTAGGCTGACCGCCACGGCACTCACTCTAGCCTGGGCAACAAAGCGAGACTCTGTCTCAAAAAAAAAAAAAAAAAAATTCAACAAATGAAATACACACAAAGCAAATGACTTTCAAATTAGGAATTAAAGGATGACATTGAGTTTCCTAATCAAAGAATATATTTCAGTGCATGAAGACATGTTCAGAGAAAAGCCAAGCTTTATATAACTGAAGCATAGATACAACATAAGGGTAAATATGGTTAGTGAAGGCCAAAACCAGTAAGTTTAGTTGAGACATGATTACGAGTCTTTTATGCCAGGCTAAGAAGACAGACTGTAAGCTGATAAAAGTTGGTTTTATTAAACAGGGAACTGACACAATGGCAATATGTGAATAGGTAGACCTAGAAAATGACTAGAAACAGAGACCAATCCAATCTCTCATCCTATAATTCTTTAAGAATATGCCCATAGGAGGGAGGTTAAGGATCTTTTAATTAGAAGATCCTTTAAAACCCATGCAAGTAACATGAAAGAAAAAAAAAAAGAATTATTTCTATTTTCCAAATGCTTTTAGAATGGAAAGCAATAAACAAAAATACTTTAAATTAATAAATTCCTACATAGGTTACAAAGCAAATTTTGTAATGTAGTCATTTAGCAATTTATAATTTCACAAGAATTGGTGGTGCTTATTCTATTAGCCTAAAAAAACAGAGTCCTTGACATATTCTAGTTTAATGTAATGAACTCAGAACAGGCAAGTTTTTAAAAAATATATAATTTCATACCTGTTTAAGAATAATTGCTTGCTTGCAGAATTTCTGTGCAATGTTTGCAACTTGCTGTATTTTGGCAGGAATAACAAAGCCAAGTGCAGAAAGCTGACGAACTTCTCTCAGAAGAATCACCAAACGATCTGAATAATGCACTTTTAATGATCCATCACTAGGATCCAATTCCATAATTCGACTATTAGCCTCAATACTACAAAACAAAATAACCTATTAAGTTTCATGTTCTCACTCTTTTGACTAATGAAAAACACAATTGTTTTTACAATTTTTCTGTACGTCTAATATTAACTCAAAGTAAAAAAAAAAAAAAAATTTCTTCCAGAGACAGGGTCTTACTCTGTCACCCAGACTACAGTGCAATGGCACAATCATAGCTCGTTGCAGTCTTGAACTCCTGGGCTCAAAGGATCCTCCCGCCTTTGCCTTCCAAAATGCTGGGATTACAGGTGTGAGCCACTGCTCTTGGCCCACCCTCCCCCAAAAAAACACCCTTTAATTATAGCTTTCGAGTTGTGATTTTTTTCATATATTATTTCACAATTCAGACTTTGAAAACAAACTGCAATATCCAAAATATATCATGACATTACTATTTCAACCAAGCAGTTTTAAAGTGAGAAAAATCAATCCCTTAACTGTCAGCGAAGACTCAAATTGACATCATATGCACCATAAAGGAAAAAGTTTTGATTCATTTTCTAAAGGTAACTTAGATTTATTTTTAATCAGTCCACTTGCCTCTTTAATATTTTTAAAGGATCAGTGATAAAGAATATCAAAATGGTAGTAGATATATTCAAATGTTTCATTCTTCTACCCTTTGATTCACTACTTAATGATTGTACATTTTTCTGTGTTTCTTGTAAAGGCTATAAAAGCAAATATTACTTTGGGGCACTCATATGAGCATGGATTGTGAAAATGCTGAACTAAATTAAGCATAAGGCATTATGTTTTCGTCATCTTCCTTTACAATTAGGTTTATATAATGCTCATTTTTTCAAATAACTTTCACAATTAAGAAAACGTATAGGTCTTACAAAGTAACCAATTGAAAAACAAAAAACAAAACAAATCTATTCCACCTACTTAATAGCACATAAAACAAAACATAATAACAAGTAGATGCTTTAAAATGGCATAAAATGATGATTTAGCCCAAACTTTCCTAAACACACATAAAGCTTGTCAGTAAACTATAATGATGACTTCTTTTGCCTTTATTAAGGACAGATCTTCAAAATAAGTTTGTAAATACCAGCATTTCCCAAAATATGTTCAAGAATACACTAATGATTCTATAGAACAATAGGTTTTACACAAAAAAAGACAGGAGAAGGATGGTGTCACTGCCAAATGGGAAACACTGTGTGGAACAACATAAACAGGCCCTTACAGCAAACCTCAGACACCTATTATGCTACCACATATGGTAGATTTCCCCTGGAGCTACAGTGATAAAGTGTGCAAATTTTCCAAAATTAGTTGACTAAAGCACTCTTTCTTTTTTTTTCCTGGAGCATCTCTCATGTTTTAGGCTCAGAGGAGGAAGAAGAGCTAAATGGCATAAAGCTATAATCATTATGCCCTAGTGCCCTTTGGTTCCCTCTGTTCTTCCTCCAGAGCCAGAATTCTAGATTTAAAAAAAAAAAAAAAAAATTATTCATTCAATTTAAGAGGCACCAATTCTGGCCTAATTATCCTTTGTAGAAGTATAGGGGAAATAAATAGAATTTCATAGTATGAACAAAATTACTTTTAAAAAGACATGACAAGTTTCTAACACAGACAATAATATGCTGGGGACAGTAAACCTGAGGTACAAATAAATAGTGGATTTTTTAGACCACCCATTTTAAATCTCCAATAGGATAATTAGGTTAACCAATTAATATATTCACTATAGCTCAATAAATATTCACAAAAACCTTACAATGTTAGGCACCATGAAGAAATACTCCCTGTCTCAAGGAGTTTAATAACATTTTATGGTTAAAGCATGTGTGTGTTTCTGTGTGTATAATATTTAATATAAAAAAGTAGAAAAACATATGTGAAAACCAATAAAAAATGATGAGAGAGGAAAAGCCTAATTCCAAAGAGGGAATCCACAGTTCTGGGGAATAGACATGAGAAGCAAGGAAGAGGTAGTCAACTAACCATATTATCAAAGTTTCCAACCTAAATGACTTAAAAGTTGATGATCAAAAACTAACAAATGAAAACAAAGGAGGAGCAGCAAGTTTGGAAAAAGGAGAAAGATGACTGATTCCATCTTGCCATTTGGATTAATAACATGATTTTGTATTTTAGAGTTTAGTATATTTATACTTACCACAAACCAGATCTGGAATCAGACAAACCTGATTGAATATCCCTGGACCAATCATCAAATTGTTCTTGTTCATATAGTTTAAACTGGTCTAAGAGATCTTCAGCACTTCGATGAAAAGATCGAAATCCTGACAAGTCAGATAAAAGAGCCTCTGCAATCTTGATAGCATCATCTACCTTAAAAAGTCAAATTACAAGGATATGTATTATTTAAATTCTAAGAAAATTAGCATAAAATAAAGAGCCCCCTTCTCTGATCTTTGATTCAGAAATTATTTTCCCTTTCAACTATAAATAGTAAAATAGAAGTTCTGCCAAAGAATAGAAGAACATCAACCCCTACTTTGCTTCTGAAATATACAGCCTCAGAATAGCAAAACACAAGAGGATAACTCATACCAGGAATAATTTGAAGGGTAAAATAAAGGGTAAATGAAAAGTCAGCTCTCAAAATTTGTGTGCCCCACTGATTTTCAGAGGAAACTCCAAGAACATCAGCAATACTCCTAAAGATGTTCAGCAATAATTTTGGCCCTTTGCTAAAGACTTTGATTAACAGTTTGAACAATAATTAGGCCCATTTAAATGTCAATTAAGAAAGATAAATGCTTTTCCTCCACAACTATACAAAGAACATTGTAGAACTCCAGAAAACTCACTGACAGAATCATTAGGCAAAATATTCCAGAAAATAAAACATCAAAAATACAAACTTGAATAAGTAGAACCACCAAACATGCTAGCTTTTATAACATTCTATGAGGTCTTATTCTTAACCACAAACTATAATTGATTAACAGGTATTTTAAGAGTCAAATGCAAGACACTGTGCCATATACTAATTAGTAAGTCCACAAGAGTCTTAGGTCAATTTTAATAATATTAAAATACTAAATACTGTATTAAATCTATAAATTGCTGTCACTACCTTAGACAATGCTATAATAACTTTTCACCTTTCTTTTAACTTCCTCTCAACCAAAAGTGTTTTAGTTACATAAACATACTTGCACATAGACTTTGCAACTACTAGGATTTTAGAATGAATTTTTAATGCTTTCCTCTTGAATAAAGGCACTTGCCTGGAACAACTGCAAGTAAAATAAATGATTTGATTATTCTCTCTATACAAGGAATGAAAATAAACATTAGGACCTCCTTTCTATACTTTTTTAGACTCCTGTGTTTCACATAAAACTTAGATGGATATGTCAAGGAAAACAGAGACTATTTATACTACAGTTCTATAGTGCTTTCTACATGCCTTAATTTAGCACATTTTATAATTAGTATTCTTCAACTTTTATTAAAATACCTTCAATTCCAACTGGCGAACCCAAACTATATTATTAACAACTTCTGAAAGATTTTTGCCAGAAAGCGGTCCAGATGGATCACCAGGAGTTCCTCGGCACCGGTTCTCAAAGTCTAATCGAAAATCTATAAAATTTAAATCAAATAAATAATTGAACAGAGTTACCAAAGATTTCCTAAATGCCTACCATGTACCAAGCACTATGGCAAATGTTATGGATAGAAAAATAATGAGAGTTGGTCCTTATTCTCAAGACCTTATCTTTCAAGTGAGACAGACAAAGAAAATAACCTGTTAATTCAAAAAATCTGACATTTATAACAGAAATAAGTAAATTAATGTTTAGCATAAAAATGTAGTCTTAATCCTAAATGGTATGCAACAAAGAAAAAAGTAATCTATAAAAATATTTCTCAAACACTATAATCTCTGATAAAATTTTACCTTTAACTGAGTCTGTAAGTCTTGCCAATAAAGTTTCTCTTTCCAACATCAATTCTTTGCTTATAGTTGGACGCTTCACCAATTCTTTATACTTCAGAAATGCTTGAAGAAGCTAATATAAAACAAAATAAGTGTATGTTCATCCCAATGGACTGACTTAGCAAATATATTTATATCTCCTAAAATAGCTTACAGGGAATAGTAAAATATTTCAACATTTTACCTGCTGTGGACTGTCTTGAATTTCTGAAATATAATTTTTCAATCTTCCTGCTATTTTCTGTTCCGCAGGTGCAATAATTTTCTCATACTGAGACACCGCAGCTTTCCACAAAGGCTAAACACATTAACAATATTGTTAGACTTTAGTATGTCAAAAATCTCCCTTTATAAAGAACAATATAAATAGGAAATTATAAAGACAGTAACATATATTTGACCTCAGTATAGGGATTATATTGCACAGGATTCAGGCCAGTAAAAGGTTCAAATACTCGAGCCAGGCATATGATTTTCTCTTCACCAGCAGGTAAAAAATAGAGAAGCTTCTCATGAATTGTTCTAATAGCCAAGACCTAAAACATAAAATATTAAAACAACAAATGTATTTCAATCAAAAAAGCTGCATAAGTAAGTCTAAAATCTACAGCTATTAGGGAAGAATTTCTTTAAAATAGGCTTACAGCACAATAAATGAAATGAACAATAAAACTGAAACTATAATCCTGAGAATTACCACTCAACACAATGATGTACACTAACATTAGTCAGTGTGCTCAAATCTAGTGAAAATATATAACATCTACATTATTTTTAAACTGTATTTAAAGCTCATTTAAGTACATTTTTAGAGTCTGCCCTAAATATAGTAAAAACTTCTGATTTTCATTATTCAGCATTAAATTGCACTTATAATAATGAAATGGCATGTTAACAGCCCTATTTATAATTTACAAACAGCCAGAAAACAATTATTATTGTATTTTGGGGTTTTTTTTCTCTCCATGTTCCCCCATTCACAATACGACCAAGCACAGGGCCTGGGCTGGGGTGTACATGGGGTAGCTTTACTCTGCCTCCTCTTTCTATACAGGCAGTGTAAGAACACAGCCTGTGGTGAGCACTAGGAGGCCTTATTGTTGTATTTTGAACTGAAAATTTCCACCAACAATCAAAGGGTAATCAAAAAGGTTAAGTAGGAGTTGGAAATCTCAGTATAAATTTATTTTTATTTTTCTGTTGCTAAAAAAAAATGTATCTATTTAACAACTCGGCCTACTGAGAATAGCAAAAAGCACTGCTAAGTAACAATTAGCACTTCCACAACCAGGTTGCTGCTAAATACTATTTCCCACCAAAAAGAAGCAGGCTCCTTGGAAAAATGGCTAATTTCACGTATAGGACAGAAAATGTACAAGATGGGTTGGCCTGGGCTGGAACATTTTGGAGGGCCTAAGTAATCAAAGAAAAACTATAATAATATCAAAATGACACAGGAGCCAACTTGAAGGGACACTCCCTACCCAAAGATACAACAATTTGAGTATAATAACTACAATGGACTGAAACACATAAAATATAAAAAGTCATGAGTTCATAATGACACTACCAGAAAACATTTCATGGTCACCTGTGGAACTTACACTAACCTATTTTTCATAGTTCTAAAAAGTAATAAATAAGCCTGGCGCGGTGGCTCACGCCTGTAATCCTAGCACTCTGGGAGGCTGAGGCGGGCGGATTGCTCAAGGTCAGGAGTTCGAAACCAGCCTGAGCAAGAGCAAGACCCCGTCTCTACTATAAATAGAAAGAAATTAATTGGCCAACTAATATATATAGAAAATTAGCCGGGCATGGTGGCGCATGCCTGTAGTCCCAGCTACTCGGGAGGTTGAGGCAGAAGGATTGCTTGAGGCCAGGAGTTTGAGGTTGCTGTGAGCTAGGCTGATGCCACGCACTCACTCTAGCCTGGGCAACAAAGTGAGACTCTGTCTCAAAAAAAAAAAAAAAAGTAATAAATAAAAAGAAAGAAGCAATTGCCCATACTGCCATTCTTATGCAAACTATATTTCAGAGTAACTAAAAAGTTGATGAGGAAAATTCTTCCATATAGAAAAATTATCACTAATAAATGCAGAAAGAGTGACAGAATTAGAAAATTACCATTTTGCGACCCTTCATGACTGCCAATGGATACTAAAATTGCTAAAAGTTGATGGAGAGCATTACACTGGATAGATCAGGCTGATCATACCTGAATTCACATATCAAACTCAATATCACTACATGCCTCCTGATGTAATGTATAAGAACTATCCACACTACCTATGAAATATTCTTGTTACAAAAAAAAAAAAAAGAACCTTAATTTAATCAAGCCTTTATAGCCAACTAGTAGTTAATAGGAAAAATGGGAAAGACAGGAACATGCTAACAACACAAAGATATAAAAAGATAATTCCAAAATATGGGAAATACTATATGGCATAAAAAACAGAAAGGGCAACCATTTAAATTCAAAGAGACTACGCAATGTGTAGACCTTGTTTGCAACCTGATTCAAGTAAACCAACTATAAAAAAATTTCTGAGAAAGTCAGGCTAAATAAACACTTGTTAAATAAAAAAATTAAGAAACTATTGTTATTTTGTTGGGTGTGATAATGGTCCTGCAGTTATGTTTTAAGGGTGGAAAAAGTATATGATATCTCAGCTTTAAAAATACTCCCACAAAAAAAAAAAAAGGAGAAGCAGGGGAGACAAAGATGAGACAAGAACTGAATAATGTCAATGACTATTAAAACTGAGTGGTGGATACATGGGCATTCATTATACTATTTTACCTTTGTGTATGTTTGAAATATTCCATAACAAAAAGGTAAAAAAAATAAAATAAAGGAAAAGAAAAAAGAACTACTATAGTTCTCCTAAGCAAGATAGAAAAAGTTAGCTTTGCCACCTTTAAGTAATCTCATTTTGCCTGTCCCTTAAAGTTAAATATATGAATTCTATACTGAATTAATAACTAATGTAAATTAAGCAACTGTTTCAAATATTTCCAACTATGCTCTAACAAGCTGTCCCTACTTAACAATTTCAATAGTCAGGAGAATGTCTGAGAGCTTCCATACATGGACAAGGGAATTGGTTATCTTTTTTATAACAAAGAACAAAATATAAATTCACAACTAACAAGTTGACCAGTCACACACCAAAGGGAAAAAAAAAAGGATGTGGAAATCAGTACATAGTTAGTACCCACTGTGCCAAGATGAGTGCCATAAATTATCCCATATGAACTTTAATTCTTATTCTCTCTCAAAACTATAAGTAATTTCTAACAGATGTATAGTGCTTGTTAAATATAAAATACATTCACAAAAAAGTGAAGACCTACTTTACACTTAAAGACAAATATCCAGATAATCAAACTGATACCTCTTCGAGGCGTTTGCCAAGTTTGTCAAGTGTTTCTGGGCAATATTTTTCATTTTTCCACGGATGAGGAACATATCGCTGCCACACCTGACCTGTTAGATGACTACACACTATCACCCATTGTTCACAAATTGAAACACCAGCTTTCAGATTTTCCTTCACAAGATAATAAGGATCTTCCCATAGGTTCAAAGTTCCCAACTTTTTCTGAACAAATCTTCCAAATGAACCACCTATTAAAACATAAGCAAAGATTTTAATAAAAATGTCTTTTTACAGAATTATAAAATACATGCTATGACAAAATTAAAATACACAAATAAACAACAAAGGATCCACAAAATACCATGTGTACACCCTTAGACTAACATTCTCAATAACAAATATTTTTTTAAAACACACAAACAGATTAGTATGCAATTTTGCATCTTTCAATATATCATGTACATCTTTCAAGTATAGAAATATATATACAATTTCTTCAAGGCTGCAGAGCCCACTGTGAATGTTGCATTATGTAAACAATTCTCAATTGCTATTTGTTTCTACTTATATTACAAACAACACTGCAATAAATACCCTTATACATAAAACTTTATGTACTTATCTGATATTTTCTTAGGATAATAATGAGAAGGGTATTTTCTAGATCAAATATTTTAATATTGATAGATAAGCCAATATATTAATATTTTAAATAATTTTTGGTTCATTTCAAAATAAAGTCTAAATTAATATAATATAGGCATAAATACTAAAAACCTATGTAAATTTAGTTATATTAATTGTCGAAGAATTTGACACATAAGATTTAAATTAGTCAATTTTATACAAATATGTATTTAAATAATCCTATCTGATTTGTCTTGAGAGTTATTTTAAATAGCAATTATTACATTAAGGAGCATTTTAAGTAAGAACTTAAAGGATAAAAAGAAAACAAAATGAGACAGGCTTCCAAATATCCAAAAGTTTATTTCTTTACTAGTACCTATGATATCTAAGAGATGTAGCATTCGTGACTCAGGATAAGGATCATGTTCTGTTTGTCTCCACACATCATCTACAACATCCCGAGTAGTCTCCACCAAGTCCACAACTTCCAATAAGGATAGACTGTCCAAGTTATAAAACTCCTAAAATAAAAAGGCATTAATTTTAAATATAATCATACTTATACCTTGGTTAAAACAGTCAAAATGATTCCAGGCTTTTTCAACTGCTGCAACTCTAATATTTGCCATATTATTTTCTCTATCTTTTTCTAACAGATGGTAATTATTTCTTTATGCAAATACCCTACAAATTCCTCCACAAAATAAATTTCATGAAAGCCAAAAAAAAACAAGAATTGCAAAAATTCTATTCATTTATTTACATACTTGGCCTCTCTTTTTATCTGAATTCAAATAAGCATAAAACTAAGACTTTTCATATTTCAGATTATTTCAAAATGCTAATTTGAATGAAGTGAACATCCTTTCAAAAGAACATATTACTACTACATGCATAAACTTCTGTTACTATATTAGGTTTTTGTTTTTCACTACATACCTGCAGAAAAGTAATTCTTTTTGAGAAAAATATTTAATATTTACTAGACACTAGAATTTAACTAACTTGGATTTCTTAATTGCATTCATATTAAATATATATCTTAAGTAAACTTCGCTACATATGAAAGATGCATTTTGTTCACAATCATCAAGTGGACTCTAAAACAGCAAAGTGTAGTGAAAACTGAATCCTAAAGTACTTTTATGAGAAGCTTGAAATGTAACTATGTATGAATCACATACTCTTGCAATTGTTTCAAACAATTCTTTAAAATAGCTGGCTCTTTCTTTACTAATCTGTTTATTTCCACGATGAGCTTGTTCTATCCAAAACTGGAACTCATCACTTGGGGTAAGAATACCTATAAAAGTGAAAAGAAAAAAAAGGATACAGAATATCAGAGCTGCAAAAAATTTGAATCACCTGACACATAATGTTCCTAGCTAATGTCAAACAAGGTGACACTCTACCTTTTTGCTTCCTATCTCATACTATAAACAAATGTCTATTTCTTTGCAGTCTATTTAATGCCACATTTTTCACACTTTCATGCTTTTTCTTCATGATTTTACTGTTAAAATGCCCCACAGCATAATGCTAAAATTGCTATCAAGTGTTCCTAAGCAAAAGAATGTTGCGATGTGCCTTACAGAAAAATACAAGTGCTAGATAAGCTTCATTCAGGCATAATTCATGGTGCTGTTGACCATGAAGTCAATGTCAGTGAATCAACAATATATGTTAATTAAAGTGTCTTTAAACAGAAACATACCAAAAAAAGGTTATGTATTCATCAGTTCATGAAACAACGTGACCAGAGGCTCAAAGGAACCTAACCCTGTATTTCCCCTAGAAGCAAAGGTTCAGAATTGGCTAATTCCATGTTCACAGTGACTTTATAGAACTACAAACAATGAGAATCAACTATATTTCCTATTTCTACAAATTTCACATTGTTAAAGATTATATTTTCCTCTTCTCCAAATCTATATAAATTTATTCATTTAAAAAAAAAAAAAAAAAAGCCTATGCTCAGAGAAGTTCCTGTGAGGAAATATGTTCATTTACTAATGTACTAATGAAACAATCATTTTGTACTTCCTTTGATTAAGCTATGACTATATACCTCGTGTGTCATCTTCCTTAAATTTCAACTTGGATAAGTTAGTGTCTGATCTTCGTAGAACTATACCCAAGCCAGCTTCTAGTTCACTCAAAAGGTTCTGAAGTTTGGGATCAAAGTTTCTGCTCCATTCCTGATCCTAAATAAAAACAGACAAGAGCAACCATTGATCAAAATCTTGCAAACTAAATTGGCTTCCTAAAACACTGTCTAAAGAACTAAGTCCAAATATCCCTGTTTAAGTTAAAGCCTGCCACTAACTCCATTTCATAAGAGGGATAAAAAGTCCTCTCAACAATTAAAACTTTGTAAAGATCATTTACTATAGAAAGTGTAAGAGCTGACGTGAGTTACATTTTACACCTTTCTCTAATTTCTCTTTGTCAACAAAGCTTACTTTAAAATTAAGAGTTAAAAAAATATATTTTAATTAAAAAACTATTGACATTAACAACAAACAAAATAATATTTATGTTTGTGTGTATGAAAACATTTATCAGAATACCTAGGTTAACAAAAATGACTTGACAGTTACTTTACTCACCTTTAACAACATTGGTGCAAATACTTGTCGTACTGCTTGGTAAAGGGAATTAATAGGTGACTCTAACATAGATGAAACAAGAATATTATTATGTAGATTCTCGTCAGTAATTACTTCAGGTCGCAGCTTGAAAAACACCAACACTTTATCTTTTGTGTCACCAAATTCAATCTAAAGTAATAAACAAATGATTTTTATTGTTATCTTTATAAATGTAATATTTGGAAGAAATGTTTCTCTGAAAGGTTGAATTGTTATAATTATAGCACTTGGAAAACAGTTACTTTAAAAATAAATATATTAAAATCAATCTATATTTACTCCTTAAAAATACCTAGACTTAAAAATTTATTCCCATTTTCATGTGATTATATCATAAGCTACTTGGGTAAGTGATTTATAAACGTAAAATGCTATATATAGTTGACATACATTCCTAACTCTGCCATCCAGCCAGATTTAGTAATACTACATATCAAAGCTTTATACCCCAGGTACACAATGATGAGTAGTGTACTTCTCTACTACCCCAGAAAGTCTATAGCAAAGATGGTTTTAATTACCCCCTCACCTTGAAAAAGTGCTAAAGGTATTTTTTAAAATACATACACTCAAAACTACCTAAATAAACTAAAGTTGTCTATGTCCTAAAACTATCTTTATCTTAACCAAAAATTTTTCCCTAAAGGGTTTGAGCATCAAACTTTTTTGTGAAATTGTCATATAGGCAGATTGGTCAAAATTGGAACCAGATGAATACAACAGGAATTCAATAAAGCAACCTTGTTTAAAATGTCAGTTCACAGTAATTCATTCATGAGCTGAAAAAATACTGTTCAAAAAGAAGCCTTTGCATTATGTACACATTTTCAGAGTTATTCTCATTTCTTTTTCCAGGAAGAAAAGTCTATGCATTAAAAAACAAGGTCACTGCTATGTTTGAAAAACACCTTATAGATGAGTGAGTTTCCTGCTACTTTTTTTTTAATCCTAATCATTACATTTTTTGGCCACTGGAAAGGAGCTGACATTTCATGTTGCTGCTCAAACTCTCATAATTCTCATGACACATGAAAATTATATGAAATCCAGAGATCAGTGTCCATAAATGAAGTTTTATTAAAACACAGGCATACTCATTCATTCACATGGTTTATTACATATAGTTCATTGCTTGGCTGTTTTCATGCAACAATGGCCGAGCTATAGTTTGCAACAGAGACCTTATGGCCTGCAAAGGCTAAAATATTGTAGGACCTATCTCGGAAAAAGTTTGCCAAACCCTGTCCTAAAACATAAACCAGATCACAGATCTCTCTTGCTTAAGATTATCAATGATTTCCTATTTGAACCTAAATTGTGTACAGGTCCCAAATAATCAGCCTATGCCTATTCTCCCATCTCATTTTCCACACTGTCCCTTCACCTGTTAAACTTCAGCAATCACCCTGGCATTTTTTTTTCCTGCCCCTTGAACCAAGCTGAAACCCAGCCCAGTGCCTTGGTACTTAGTTTCTTTTGCTTAGAACACTCTTTCCCCATATCTTAAGTCTGCCTACAACACATCATTCAAATCTTACTTCAAAGGTCACTAATCCAAAGAGGTATTCTCTATCACTCTATTTTAATGTAGTTTCCCACCCCACCCCCATCACTACTTTTTGTTACCCCCAACATAGGGTCTTGTTCTGTTGCCTGAGCTAGAATACAGTGGTATAATCATAGCTCACTGCAACCTCAAACTGCTGGGCTCAAGGGATCAGCTCCTGCCTTAGCCTCTTGAGAAGCTGAGACTACATGCACACACCACTATGCCTGGCTAATATTTTATTTTTCAATATTTTTTGAGAGAGAAGGTTTCACTATATTATGTAGGTTGGTCTCAAACTCCTGGCCTCAAGCGATTCTCCTGCCTCAGCCTCTTAAAGTGCTAGGATTAGTGAGCCACTGCACCCAGTCTGTTTTTATCTTAACAGCACTTATCAGTACCCAAATTATGTTACATTATATATCTGTGCCATGTGTTTAGCCTATCTTTGTCCACTCCAATGGTACTCCTTTAAGACATGAACTCTGTGCTCGTGGCTTTATCCCCAGAACCTAGGACAGTACCAGATCCATAGTAGGTACTCAATAAATGGTTGTTGACTTATTATTAACTTATTAAATTATGCTGACTCTCAGACATGAAAAGTACAACTTAAGGCAGAACAAAATTCTTTCAAATATGACTAAAAACCTATAGTGCAGTGTAGGACTAAAAATAATAGATACATTGTTGGACTCTACTAGTAATACCACAGGAAAAAAAAAGTTACAATTTCAACTTTCAATACAGGAGCCAATATACATTTTCACAAATCTAAACCCCTTCCCATTTTTCCCACTGCATTCTTTCTGAACTTTCAGTTGCATTTACAACACTGTGTCCTCCTAGGTCACTGTAGAGTGAGGCTCTGGAAGGCAGAAATCAGGGGGCTCCTATCCTGAATCACACCAACTATTAGAGAATGAGTTAACACTTAGGATGTAACCTTTGTGCCTTACTTTCCTCAGCCATAAAATAGGAATAAAAATAGTTCCTGTCTTATATAGTATTGTTGTGTTTATTAAATGCACTAATACATATGAAGTGCTTAGAACCGTGCCTGACAGAGTGTAAAGTAAAAATTAATGTTAGCTATTCATTAGCTATTCATTAAAAATAAATGTTAGTTATTCATTCTTTTTATATCTTTGTAAACCCACCAAACCTGGCAAAATGCCTTGCATATACTGAGTTCAAAATAAATGTTTATTAAATAGAATTGAATTAAACCCAAGAATAAAGGTTCATAGTGAATGGGGTGAATGATCCAATCATCCTACAAAAGCATACTGAACACTTGCTGAGTGCCAAATACTCTGTGAGACCTAGGAATAAAAGTGAACATAAGAGGAAGAGCTTGAAAATATGTGTATGACTTTACTTTCAGCCATTTACTGAGCCCACTTTAATGTGTCTGACGATTTTCTTTCGTGTTTTACTTTGAGGTATATACATGATATGTGTGTATAACATATATGTATACTATATAATTATGTATTTATTATATATATATATGTCCAGGTTGCAAATGCAATCATTTTTTAAGCAATCTTGCCAGTGGAGGGAGCAATGCAATGAAAAAAATTAATACATATGCTGTATACCAAAAAAGAATTCAAACTTTATTTTGAAATACATCATATCATTTTGCAAAGGTTTGAATTCCTAACTAATCTTTCCCTCAGGCAATATTAAAATCAGTGTATAACCCAAAAAAAGGATGTTTGGGAGGCTGAAGCAATTTGATCCTTGAGGCCAAGAGTTCTAGATAGCCTAAACAACATAGCAAGACCCTGTTTCTATTTTTTAAAAAAATAGCTGGGTGTGGTGGCGCACACCGGTAGTCCCGGCTACCTGGGAGGCTGAGGCAGGAGGATCCCTTGAGCGCAGGAGTCTGGAGTTTGAGGTTGCTGTGAGCTAGGCTGACGCCAGGGCTCTCTATCTTGGGCAACAGAGACAGACTGTCTCAAAAAAAAAAAAAGAATTTGCCTTTTTGCCTTAAAGAACTTCAGAAGGGAGAAAAGAAAAAAAATTAAAATAACTAAATAAGGTAAATGTTTTCTTTTTAGTTATAACCTATCTGTAGTCAAGAAAAGAAAAGAATGCAATTGTTTCTGTCCAGGTGTGTGGGCAGGGAACCTCCTTCGTTCAGGTGGGATGCAAGCTTGGAAGCTAACTACATGCTTAAGTACGAGGCCAAAGCAGCTGAGGCCAACGCGGGAGAAGTGGAGACAGCTGTGGGCTCCAGACCAGGATCCGTTGAGTTGGGCTGGAGAGCGACCCGACATCCTCCAGCTGGGCCTGGGCGGGTGAGGGGAGGTCAGGCAGGCAGGGGTGCAACGAATCGAACGTACCGTGTTGGTAAAGGAGATTCCGGCGTCGGATCGCTGCACCCTGAGGAGCATCTGGTTGCCGTCGTCCAAGAAGTTGTTGATTTCAGGGCAGTTGTACAGCAGTGGCTGGTCCCAGGGTTCCGACGTCAACCCGAAGTAATTCTGGGTAGTAGTGAAGATGAAGAGCTTCCGAACGTCCTCGGTCCCGCTCGCCATGATGGGGGCGAGGGGGACGGGCGTAGAGGAGGAGGGACGGGAAAGAAGGAAGGAAGAAGAAACCAGACCGGAGGGAAGTGAAGGGAAGAAGCGGAGCTCGGCTCAAACCCGGAGCCCGCCCGCCTCAAGGCAGAGCTTCGCAGTTGCCAAGGGCAATCGCTATGGCGACGGAGCGCGACGCCGGCGGCGCGCAGTGAGCGCTGCCGTCTCGGGCACACGCACGCAAAGCTCTCGGAGGCGATCGATCGCCTCGGAGCTCCGTAGCTGCTCCCCGAGGTTATCGATTGTAAAGGCATCTGGCAAGTTTGTGTGGACTCCCAAAACGTGGCTTTTATTCTTCCTACTGATTTCTTGTACCACCTAGTCAGGAAATATACGTCTAGCCTTCTAGTGCAGTAGCGTGACCTGGAGTTAGGAGAGTTGCGTGCTAGGGCTCCCTCTCCACTTGCACTCCTTAGCAAACCACTCTGTAAGCTTCAAATTCCACCTCTGTAAAATGGGGACATCCTATTTCACAATCAAGGTTGTACTGAGGATGTTAAGAGATTGTTATTTTAAAACTGCTTTTTTTGAGACAGAGTCCCACTTTGTTGCCCAGGCTAGAGTGAGTGCCATGGCGTCAGCCTGGCTCACAGCAACCTCAATCTTCGGGGCTCAGCGATCCTACTGCCTCAGCCTCCCGAGTAGCTGGGACTACAGGCATGCGCCACCATGCCCGGCTAATTTTTTGTATATATATTTTTAATTGGTCAATTAATTTATTTCTGGTAGAGACGGGGTCTCGCTCAGGCTGGTTTCGAACTCCTGACCTTGAGCAATCCGCCCTCCTCGGCCTCCCAAAGTGCTAGGATTACAGGCGTGAGCCACCACGCCCGGCCTGAAACTGCTTTTTAGAGAGGCTGATAAAGAATAGGAGTTCAATACAATTTTAATTTACTTTCTCAGTTTCCACTCTTTTGTGTCTGGTTCTTTTCCTATTATTTTGGTTTTTTTATTCTGTTATTAATTTCAGGAAAAAAAAAATCACCAATTTTTCATTAAAATCATTACCCAAACACAGACATATTTTTAAATAGCCAAAATATACAAGATACTTGTTAGCTTATTTTATAACAAGCTATTAAGTGCAACCAAATACTGAGAAAATACAGACTTGAAAACAGGCTTCATTACTTTCTACGCTATGTCACCACTATAAAATACTAAACAGCTGGTCATTTATCCCAACATTCGCCAAAGACTCGTTCAATAATTCTCTTCTAAGAGTATTTACTACATACTACTATATGCCAAGTACTGAACTAGGCCCTTAGGACACAGTCCTTGACTTCACATAGCTTTTGTTGTAGTCCAGGGGTAGGGAACCTGCAGCCTTAAGGCCACCTGTGGCCTTCTAGGTCCTTAAGTGTGGCTTTTTTACTGAATCCAAATTTTACAGAACAAATCCTTTTATTAAAAGGGGTGCAGCAGAAAAAGATGAAGCTTTTCTTGCCTCCTTTGGTGCTTAAAAAAGAATCTTGAAATCAGAAGGCCGCAACCTAGTCATTCATCTCAGCACTGATTTCAGACATCATCCTGGGGTATATAAACATATACAGATTTTCTTATTTGCACTCAATAATCACAAATCTCCTAAAACTGTATTCTTTTAGAATTAGAAGAAGGGTCCTTTTATCTGCTGAGTAACTTGATTAAGATTTGGGAGTAGGAACTAAAAAACTAAACTGCTCTAAATTATAAAGGGAAATGAATTTAAATTTTCATGAAATATCCAAGAGGTGAGAGATGGGAGTTTGACCACTGTCTGGGAAAAAAAATCCAAACAGCGAGATGAGATATTGGGTGGAAAAAAAATCCAAATAGGAACCCAAGGTGACTGGGTAACTAAAGAGGATTTTGAAACCAAAAGTGACTACTGTGGATACAGAGAGTCTTGCTCTGCAATGGGCATTATGACCCTTCCCAAGGTCTTCAGGAAAGTCTCTATTACCCACAAGTGCTTGGTCTGGGTGAGTTGTTTTGGTGGAAATGTGTGAAAAGGCCAAATTTGGCCAGGTGTGGTAGTTCATGACTGTAATCCTAGCACTCTGGGAGGCTGAGGGAGGAGCATCACTTGAGCTCAAGAGTTCAAGACCAGCCTAAGCAAGAGTGAGACCCCCATCTCTACTAAAAATGGAGAAATTAGCTGGGTGTGGTGACATAGACCTGTGATCCCAGCTACTCCAGAGGCTGAGGCAGGAGGATCACTCAAACCCAGGAGTTTGAGGTTACAGTGAGCTATGATGACACCACTGCACCCTAGCCAGGGTGACAGAGTGAGACTCTGTTTCAAAAAAAAAAAAAAAAAAGAAGGTGGCTGAATTTAACTTCCCTGGCAACATTGTAAATAAAAAGGCAATACATATAGGAACATGAGTCTAGAAAGCAGGTGAGATCATGAGAACATCATCAATCCAGGAATTTTTAGAACTCTTGAGTGGGCTTTTGACTTCCACAAGCTACCAAATTAAGTGTTTGAGGCAACTGTAACCCAGATCTCAAGAAACCTGAAAGCGCCTTTTGATGTGTAAACCCCATGAGAATAGAGATTTTGTATATCTTATTTATTACTATTAACATATGTGCAGAATTAGGCATAAAGTGGAAAACAAGACAGATAAGGACACTGTACTCATGAAGATTACAATAAAGAAGAAAAAAGAATCTCAGAGGTTAACTTACACAAGGACACAGAGATAGTAAGTTGTAGAACCACTTTTGTTTCTATAGGTTATTTACTTCAACATTTAATGAATTGAAATTAAAACTAAGAAATGTGTGAAATACTTATTCATCTACTTAAAAATAAGAATAATAATCCCATTACTTGTTAACATAAATAACATTTTTATTAAAATAATTGTATTTCTCAAAACAAAAACAAATTTGATGAGAAGAGTGGCATGGTTTTACATTTCTGCAAATCTTTTTTATATCTGGCTTTGGGAGAAAACAGCTGGATCCTCTATCTTCCTCTGCAATCCATCTATTGCAATAGCTTATTTTGGTTGCAGTATATGGAGAAAATCTGGCCTCATACAGATATGTAATTAGAAAATGAAGAAGAATTTTAATAGCCTTTCAGAAACTTGTGAATACTTTTTGATACTAAATTAAAACTCCACAAGTGGTAGTTTCTTAAAGGATAGTTGAAATTTGAAATCTGGAACCAGTATGAATATTTCATAATCAGTTACATTAAAATCCACTTGTTATCGTGCACTTTGAATGGATATTTTATCCACACATAACTTTGTAACATCATGCATTGGTCATTTAGAAAATATTGGTACACTAAACTATAAAGATCTTCCAAACAAAGATACATTTCATTATACAATATCAAAAAGTCACATTCATTAATATGCCACTGATCTCATAAGAAAAAGTCTTTAGGCTTAGGGAGGTTTTCAAACTTACAGTAGAGAATTTAAGTTTTCCAAAATTCAAATTTTTGCACAAAACCTTGAATTTTATCATTGGCAACAAATAACATCAGTTATATTCCTTAAAGAAAACATTTTTTTGAGAAAAACATCTGCCAAATACTCAAGTCTGAATAACCAGAATCTGTCATTCTTTCAAGTAAACATGATCTTCCATGAAAAAAGCAGCTAGTTTAGATCACAACTCAAACCATCACATGAGTTCTTTTCCTTGAGACAACGATTATATTTCAATACAGAAGTAAAGTACTTTATGGTATTCCATTTCCTCATTCAAAATATTGAAAGGGTTTGTACTTAAAGTTTGACATTTAATAAAATGAATAAATTTTATTCCTTCATCAAGGGCATTCTTAAGTGACTCTGGAATCTTTCCAGTGAGTGCATAGAGATAAAAAATACATGATTACTAAAATAGTTTGCTGCCCCAGCCTTGATTTGTGTCAAGGTGCCAGCATTTTTAGCCACTATTTTCCATTGCTGTGTAGCAAACTACTTCAACACCCAATTTATTAGCTAACAGGCCTATAGGTCAGGGAGGTGAGTCATGCATGGCTGGGTTCTCTGCTAAGGTTCTCAGGGGCCTAAATCAAGATGTCAGCCAGGCTGCATTCTCCTCTGGAGCCGAGGGTCCTGAGAATTAAGTCCCTTGCAGTTGTAAGACTGAGGTCCCTGTTTCCTTGCTGGATGTCAGGTGGAGCCACTCTCAGCAACTAGAGGCCACCCATATTCTTTGCCTCTATCTTTAAAGGCAACATTGGAGAACTTTCTCAAACATCAAATCACCCTTGTGTTCCAAATCTCTTGTAACAGGGAGGGTCCTTTAAGTTCCTCTTAAGGGTTCACATGATTAGATCAGACCCAATGGATAATCTCCATTTTTACTAACTCAAAATCAAATGATTAGTAAACTAAACATGGGAATGATATCCCATCATATTCACAGGTTTTTACCACACTCAAGTTAGGGGGTTATTCAAGGTGTGCACACCAGGATGCAGGGGCCTTGGGGCTCTCTTAGAATTCTGCCTGCCATAGCCACTGTTGCTTCTGCACCATCAATGCAAATGTCAAGCACAAAGAGCCACATAATGGCTCACTATTATTGTGAAAATAGTTCTGACTTTGCAGATCCCCTGAAAATGTTTCAAGTTCCTCCAGGGATCCACTGCTCTAGATGATTTCTAAGGTAAATGCATCTACTCAATGAAAGCGACTCCAAGGAAAAAAATGTTTTCTGTTTTACCCATTATGTTTGATTAAATATTGGGTAAATTCTATTAAAAATATAATATTGGTTATAAATATTGCCCCACTTATTAAATAGATTCTTTATAATTTTATTCAATTTAAAGAAAAAAAAATACCAGTCAATTTAACTGTATTAAGGGATACCCAGATAGCTAGTAAAACATTACTTCTGGGTGTGCCTATGACGGGGTATCTAGAAGAGATTAGCATTTGGGAGTCTGAAGATAGCCCACACCATTCAATCTCTTGAGGGCCCAAAATAGAACAAAAAAGCAAGAAAAGGTGACTTCACTCTTGCTTCAGGGGCTAGGACATCCATCTCCTCCTTCTGTCAGATACCGGAACTCTAGGCTCTTGGGCCTTTGGACTTCAGGATTTACACCAGCAGCACCTCAGTTTCGCAGCCCTTCAGACTCAGGCTGAATGACATCACTGGTTG